TTTCGATCTTGGTCTTAGATTCCTCAAGACTCTTGGTGAGTGATTCAACTGTAGCCTTGGTAGACGTCAATTCAGCAACCGTCTTAGTCAATTCTTCAACCTTACTTTCGAACTTAGTGGTCAATTCGTTGATGGACACCGATCTGCTATTGCTTTCTTCGGTTTTTTTAGCAAGTTCTTCTTTTATTTCATAAAGTGATTTTTTGTAATTTGCAGCAATTTTTTCAAATTGGTTTTTTATGTTTTTCATTTTTTCATCTATATTTTTGTTTTGGGAGTTGATTGTGATAGTTTTGTCAATGCTTCTTTCGGAGACGCCATTTTCAGATTTATTTTGAGGATGTAATTTTTCCTGTTGATTATTGTTTATGTAGGAGATGTCTTTTAAGTTTTGAATTTGAAATTGAATATAATTTTTCGAATTTTCATAAGTTTGTTGCAACTGGGAGTATTTATGAGTAGATTGATCAATTTGTGATTGAAGAGCATGGATTTTATTTGTAAATTGGAGCTCTTTTTCACCAGCGGCAGATAGTTTTTGTTGTAAAAGAGATTCTTGATCGTTATACTTTTGAATGAGCTGAGATAATTTTTGCTCCATTCCTTTCTTTGTGATTTCTAGGTTAGACAATTTTTGTTTTGCTGAATTTAGATCGCTATTTATTTGTTGGATATTATTTTCAGCTTGAAGGGATTCATTTGATTTTAACTTGAGTTTAGCATCGAGATGATTGTTTTGATCAGTTTTAGCGTCAAGAGATAATTCGGCCTCGCTGATTTTAGTAGTTAGAATATTCAATTTCAGCAGTAGGATTTTGTTTTCATCTTTGAGTTTTGATACAATTTCCTTTAGATTTTTAACATCGAACAGCTGAGTATTTAATTTTTTTTCGAGCAGACGGTTTTGATTGAGAGCAAAAGCCAATTCTTTTGATTTGAGGTCTGATTCTCTTTTGAAGGACTTGATTTTATCCCTTCTTGAGTTGAGTTGATCGGTTAGGGATATTTTTTGTTGATCGAAAAGTACTTTTTGTATTTTGAAATCTTGTAGTTGAGAGGAAAACTCAGCCAATTCATTTTCTTTACTTCTCAACTGTTTTCTTAGGATGGATAGTTTATTGTCGGAAGAGATTTGCAATTCTGAGTTTGATTGGGTTAATTTGAAAAACTTTTCGGACAAATTTTTGTAGTTTAGTTGATCTTCGATTTGTTTTGTATTTATGGATTGTAGTTTTTCTTCTAGCAACTGGTTGCTTTTTTTCAAAGCCATATTTTCAGATAAAATGAGAGTAGTCTTCTTTTGTAGTTTTTCCAATTCGTCGGACAAGTTGATAACTTGTTCATTTTTTTTGGCTATAATTTCTTGTTTGGAGGAGATTTGGGATTCTAGATTTGAATTACTGAGTTCAATTTGTTCAGTGATTTCACGTTTGAGGTCTTTTGAGATTCTTTTGGAACTTTTAAGATGGTAGGAATTGTCGACGATTTTTGTAAATACAAAAGTGACAACGGCGGAACCTGCGATTTCAGCAAGCATTATGTATAAATATATGGGGGATGGTGAGATTAGGTGGTATAGCGTAAGTGGAATAGGAGGTAGTATCGGATAATTAGTTTTGAAATTTTTAGTTGAAATTTTTTTGTTATTTTTATAAAAACTAATTAAAAGCTTGTGGTGAATAGATAGAGAGGAAGCTTCGAATATGAAGACAAAAGCGAGTATATAATTCAGATAATTCGTTAGATAGAATAATAAAGAAAGAGAAAGAGAGAGAAAAAGATATATAAACCAAAAAACCAAAAAAAAGCAAGAAGATGTTATTGTTTTAAAATGAATTGATTGTAAACATTGATTGTTTTGATTTTGATCAAAAACCTGAGTTGATATTTATTAATCATTAATCCAGAGTCGCCAAAGCTGAATATTCAGAATTGTAGATGCATAAAACAACCAAATGAAGAGGAATTTTTCAAATAGGAGAAGAAAAATGAAGTAAATAATAAAAAAGCATAAAAGTGGATCACATCAACAGAAGGTGGTGGTGAACGAAATATCAGCAAAAACGTTAAGGAAAACCCGTCGCCTTCAGTGGGAAGTGAAAAGGTAAGCACGAAAAAGAGTCTGCGGCAAGAGCCCTGCACGGTTTGGCACGATCAGGCGATTTGGGCCCCACTCCGCAAAACCGCACCGGTACGTGCAGCCGGAGCGTGTCCGCCCGTCGGTGACGCTAGCGTACCGGCAGCTGTTGAACAACGGCCGGGATTCGAAGACAGCCGGAGCTTGAAGACGGCCGGTGTGGCGTTGGGATTGTAGTTGTGTTCGGCTGTCTGGTCTGGTTCGAGCTTTGCACCAGACAGGGTGGCACGTGGCAATGTTCACTCCAGCAAGAAATTTGAAAAAAGATTAAAAAAACTTCTGGTCTGGAGTGTCGCTAAGATCAGTTCATCATTCAACCGCCATTTACTCTGATCAATTCAAGGGAAATCAATGGGGCAAGTAAGCGAGGTTAGTGCAAAAAATGAAAGCAAAGTTACTTCTCATTCTCATATAAAGCACTTGGGATTATCTTCCACTGGTGTCGCTATCACAAACGACACTGGTGGTTTCGTTGGTCAAGCAGAGGCGCGTGAAGCGGGTGGTATAATTGTGGATCTTATAAAAACCAAAAAAATGGCAGGAAAGGCCATTTTGCTAGCTGGTGGGCCTGGTACTGGTAAAACAGCTTTAGCTCTAGCTATTTCGCAGGAACTTGGGCCCAAAGTTCCCTTTTGCCCAATTGTTGGCAGCCAAATCTTTAGTGCTGAAGTTAAAAAAACCGAACTATTGATGGAAAACTTTAGAAGAGCAATTGGACTACGAATTAAGGAAATCAAAGAGGTCTACGAAGGAGAGGTTACAGAGCTTACACCAGAGGAATCTGAAAATCCGCTAGGTGGCTATGGAAAGACCATATCGCATGTAATCCTTGGACTAAAGAGTGCAAAGGGAACCAAAACATTAAGATTAGATCCATCAATTTACGAAAGCATTCAAAAGGAGAGAATAGTCATTGGGGACGTGATTTACATTGAATCTAATACCGGTGCAGTCAAAAGAGTGGGAAGGTCAGATGCTTATGCGACTGAATTTGATCTTGAAGCAGAGGAGTATGTTCCCTTGCCTAAGGGAGATGTGCATAAGAAAAAGGAGATCGTCCAGGACGTTACTCTCCATGACTTGGATGTTGCAAACTCCAGGCCGCAGGGCGGTCAAGATGTTATATCAATGATGGGTCAGTTATTGAAGCCCAGAAAGACGGAAATAACCGACAAACTACGGCTAGAAGTCAATAATATTGTATCCAAGTATATCAATCAGGGCATTGCGGAATTGATTCCAGGAGTGTTGTTTATCGACGAGGTAAACATGTTGGATATCGAATGTTTTACTTATCTCAATAGGGCGTTGGAGTCTCCCATTGCACCGGTTGTGATATTTGCTTCTAACCGCGGACTAACCACCATCAGAGGCTGCGATGCTGATGAAAAGGGCCCACATGGATGCCCACCAGACTTGATTGACAGGCTATTGATTGTGAGAACGCTTCCCTACAACATACAGGAGGTGCGTTCTATTGTGCTCAAACGAAGCAGGCACGAAAACTTGAGCCTCAGCCAGGAAGCGTTGGACAGACTTGCGTACTTGGGCTCAGCAAAGTCGTTGAGGTACTCGCTCCAGTTGCTTAGTCCCGCCAGCATCCTCGCCGGCGTTAGTGGTCGAAACGAGATTGCAGCTGAAGACGTGCTCCAGGCCGAGGACTTGTTCATCGACGCGAAGAGGAGCGCCCTGATCTTGGAGGCCAACTCAAAGTACTACTTGTGACCATTCAGATGGGTTCAAGAGAAAAAACAGCCACCACAGCGGGTCTTTCAATTGCACGCACACCTACGCGCCGTTCGCACAGCCCTGCATGATCCGTGCTGACGGCCCAGGAACGGGCGGGGCTTTTTCTGAGCTTCCCGCGGTGCGTGCCGCTGGATTCGAGGTGTTTTCCAGGTGCTTTCCACTCTTTTCTCTGGACAGCGGCCAAACAAAAAACACCAAATTTTTCTCTTGCTCTTTTCATCCTCTGATATAATGAGCTTCACTCACAATCCTCTTTTGATTTGCAGTCACTAGTCTCAGCCCAACCAAACTCCAGAAGAAGTCCTCCCTCCACCATCAAGCTACTTATCAAGAAATATTTCCTCCAATATTTTTTGTTGGTTTCGCTTTCAAGACTTTTTCTCTATCTTCCTCCCACCCACCCAAGAGCACTCAAAAGCAGCTGTTTCTTCATCTTCGTGTTCAAAATACTCCAAAAGACGACAAGCCAAAGAAAGAAAAGGGAAATATCAAAGAAATAATCAAACCATTATTTTTTTTTTTATTTGGGTTTTTATTTTTATTTCCATCTTTCCTCTTTTTGTTTCTTTCGTTTTTTCTTCCTCTTCTTCTGCTCTTTTGATTCGTGTCTGGTTCCAACGTATCTTCATCTTTGCCTCCATTTTCATCTTTATTGGATCTCTTTATCTTTCCTTCACTCCTCTTTAGTTTAAATCTGTTTTACCCCAAAATCAAATCAAATCAAATCAAATCAAACCAAATCAAACCAAATCAAATCAAACCAAATCATCAAGTTAAAACTGATTAAAAGATTAACCAAATATCATCAAATATTACCAAATTAAGCTGAATAAATTGAGCTTAATAAATTTAAATTAAAGAACTTAAAGTGACTCAAACAAATAATCTGTTCAAAACGAAATAAATAGTTTAAAACGAAATAAATAGTTTAAAACGAAATAAATAGTTCAAAACGAACTCTATTACCATTATCTATTATTACTTTGGCTAGTAATTTAGATATAATCAAAAGGCCCTCAAAAAAACTTCATTCAAATCTTATATTCAACGAGCTTTTAATTAAGTTATCGTTTTTTATATTCCAAATCATTTCTAATAATTTTCATTCTTAAAGAAATCTTCTTATTCTTATTTTTATTTTTATTTTTATTTTTATTTTTATTTTTATTTTTATTCTTATTCTTATTCTTATTCTTATAATCATAATTATAATTATAATTGTATCTATAACTATAAAAATATCTCTAAATCATCCAAATCATGTCTATAGTTACTGGTTCATTCTATCAAAGAAACTTTGATGACTCCACTAATAATGACCTATCAATCAACATCCCATCAAAATACTCTTCCAATCACTACCCATCTCAAAACTATAACAAAAATCTTTCCCCTATCTACTCAAATTCAAACTATATTTCAAACAACAAAAATTCTCAATTCAACCTAAACGACTCAAACATCAACAATTATAATTACAACTACAACTACAACTATAATTCAAATTACAATTACAACTACAATCATAACTATAATTATATAAATAATTATAATAACAATAATAATAATTATAATAACAATAATAATAATAATAACAATAATAACAATAACAATAACAATAATAATAATAATAATAATAACAATATCAACAACTATAACCACAGCCTAAACTCAAACCAAATCCCTATCCAAAATTACTCTTCAACTCAGAACCAAATTCAAAATTCTCATCACTCATCAAACTATAATCTTTCCAAACAAACCAATCACTACAATCCTTCATACCATCCAGTCGATTCTTCTGGAAATAACTTTAATGATTACTCCAAAAATTCCATTTCTACTAATTTTCCTCAGCAGCAACAACAACAACAAAATGATGACCAAATCACAGGCGGCGTCACTCAACACTTGGATTATGATTTAACTACTATGGCCAAATTCATGTCCATTTTTGCTTTCAAAACAATCAACTATAATCAAGTCTATCTCAACTCAAATTTCGTCAATCAATTAAGAAACGTCTTGGCTGCTACTAGATTACCGAAATCTTCTCTCCTATTAGCCTTAACCTACTTTGCTAGGAAATCTAATTCCTCCAGATATAAAATTAACCACCCTGATCAATGTTTTGCTGATTTGGTAACCTCTTTGATTATTTCAAATAAATTTAACGATGATAATACCTTTACCAACAAAAGCTGGTCCGATGCAACTGGCTTGTCTTTAAAGGAACTAAACACTTATGAAAGAAACTGGTTGCTTGATTGCAAATACGATTTGCATTTCAACGTCAATAATTTATCTGATCTGGAATTTTCAACTTTAAATTTCAACTCAACCTCAATCTCTGATTCAATTTCAACTCCAAGTCCCACTTCAAACTCAATTCCCATTTTAAATCTAAATGCAAATCTAAATTTAAATTACAAATCTTACAATCTCTTAAATTCTCCTACTGATAACGACTCAATTCCCCTTCTTGAAAATCGCTCATGGTTAAACGTTTTTGCCAATTCCTCTTCTTTTATAAGCAATGAAATATTATTAAAAGACGATTACTATGATAATCAAAATACTTTAAATAAAAATTCTTCAATACCTCATGGGCTCATTGAATACCAAAAAATACAACTATATTATGAAAATTTTATTAAATACGGTTGTCTCCAACCAGAAATTTATTCTCCCAACAAATCTTCCCAATTCCGCTACTCGAATGGCTCAGCCATTGAATCTTCCTTGGTTCCTAAAAAGGATTACCAAAATACTTACTCTAGGCCTAATAATTCATCCAATTTCAATAATTCCAATCAATATTTCAACCATTTGAGCGCTTCTCACAACACTTTGGTCTCCAATGGCTTGGCTACTCCAAGAACTACTAATTTCGAAAATTTCCACTCAAATAACCATTCATCATCTTACAAATATTATCAATCAAAGCATGTTCCTAGTTTATTATTACCATCTCCAAATACGTATAATCAATCTTTTTCATCAAACAGTATTTGGGGATCCTATGAATCCAAAAAGAAAAATATATTAGATGATTCTTTATATGACTCAACATATTCTCCTTGTCTAAATGACAATTTAAATAATATGCCTCAAAAAAACATTTTCCGCAGTAATTACTACAATAACAGACATGTCGCTTCAAACGATAATGGTAATAATACCAATAATAATGAAGCCAATACCAACAATAATAATAATAATAATAATAATAATAATAATAATAATAATAATAATAATAATAATAATAATAATAATAATAATAACAATAACAATAATAATAACAATACTAATACTAATACTAATACTAATACTAATACTAATACTAATAGCAATAATTTCAATTCAGTCAATGACTGTCAAACTTTTCCAACTGAACATTTTAACACAAATTATAATAGATTTACGAGTAATAGGAACTCGAATTATATACTCCTAAATAATTACTATAACAATCCAAAGAATAATGACGCCTATGGGCATTATAGCAACAATCCCATCAACAACGATGTTTCCAATCCAAATCTGTTAAATACTTATTCAAACTGCCACAAACGTGATAGCCTCAGGTTTTCAGATTTTGTTTATAATACTGTCCCAGCTTGCTAAATTAACTACTACCAATTGAAACTATCTTGTCCAAATATTATCAGAAAAGGTATCCTCCAAAGAGCTGACAATAATATTGAAAATTATATCATTTTTTTATGTTTTTTTTATCATTTAAATTGTCCAACTTTCTAACCTCTGATTTTTGATTTTTGATTTTTTTTTTTTTTACTTTTTTAACTTTTTAATTGTGGTTTTTAAATCTTGTTTTGATTTTTGGTTCATTTAGAAATAGACACCATGAATAATTTAATCAAAAATATTACAGAAATAAGAACAATATGTTTCTATCTACTGAATCAGAAATCAAAAATCCTTTTTTTTGTCTCAATTTAAATATATTTTTAATCATATCTTTAACTATACTTTTAACTATATTTTTTTAGTGCAAACTTTTATTTCTATTATACAAAATAAACAAGAAAAAAAAAATTATAGATGCCTTCATATTAAATATAAGAAAAATTAAAAAGTTAAGCTTTATGCAATTTTGAAGAGGTAAAATATATAGACCTGCCGTTGTTCATATTTTAGTAATTAAAACAGATTTTGGTTATAACTATCTTCTATTATACTACAAAATTCAACAACTCTTTTTGGTATAATATTTAAGAAATTCGGCCATCTTTAATGTTAAATACTATTAAAATTCAAGTATATTTTAAACAATTCACTACTTAATAATCTACAAACCTTGAATCAATCTAGAGATTTCATCTAGTTCCAGATTTCCATTCAATTCATTTAATTTGTTTTTGATATAAGAAATCAAGTTATCAACTTCAACTAATTCACCTTCATTACTGTTTTCATGCTCGCCTAATACTTTTACTCTAACTTTATTTTCATTGACATATTCTTCTTGGCCAATTATTACACCTATTGAAGCACCAATTTTTTCAGCAGCAAGAAATTGTTTTCTTGCGTTTACTTTCTTTTTAAAAACAAACTCTGTTTTCAAATTAGCGGACCATAGCAAATTGGAAATTAGTAATCGTTCTTTCAATAAGCCATCCCCACCAAAGGACATGACAAAAATGTCTGTTGAAGAGCTCCTAACTTTATTTTTAGTATCAATTCTTGAAGAAATAATGGAAAAAATTCTTTCCACACCAAAAGAAACACCAATACATGGAATTGAAATATTTTTCTTTCCATTTGACAATGCAAAATCGCCAACAAGATTGTCATAACGGCCACCAGCAGCAATTGAGCCAACACCAACATAACTAGAGGCATCGTCAGTTTGGCTATCGTTAAGTTTTTTGCTTTTTTCTTTTAATTCTTTGGCATTTTGAGGAGCCTTACTTTCAACAGTAACAGCTTCATAAATTAATCCCGTGTAGTAATCAAGGCCTCTTGCTAATGATAAATCAAAAGATATAAAATCAGAAATAGAGAAAACAGAAATATAGCCATTTAATAATTTCATTTCTTCAATACCTTCTTTGGCAAGTGGATTAGACATTAACTCTTCATTAGATAATAAAATCGGCAAAATCTCATCTAGACCGCCTTTTAATTTAACAAATTCACCAATTTTGTCAGCAACCTCCTTCGACTGATTTTTTTCTTCAACAATTTCCCGTTTAACTTCATCCCAAGATTCTTTATCCAATTTATCGACAGCACTGCTTACTTTTCTAACATCTGAATCAGTGACACCACATACCTTGAAAATTCCATCTAGAATTTTTCTATGATTTAATTTAATTCTAAAATCAGTAATATTTAGTTTAGTCAAACCTTCAACTAAGATTTTAAGAATTTCAGCATCTGGTACCATTTTATCATAGTTTATACCAGCTATGTCGAAATCGCATTGATAAAATTCTCGCATTCTTCCTTTAGTCATGGCAGGTTGATCTCTTCTATAAACTTTGGCGATGTGATATCTTTTGATATTTTTGATGTCATTTTGTGCAACAAAACGAGCAAAGGGAACCGTCAAATCATATCTTAGGGAACACAACTCGCCACCTTGGTCTTTTAAATCGTATATAAGTTTAGAGTCTTCACCATATTTATTTGTAAGAATTGATTTTAACTCAAAAACCGGTGTATCAATCGATGATCCACCATGAAGTACAAAAACATCTTTTAAAATATCAAATATTTTGGTTTTGAGTAGCAAATCTGCACCAAAAAAATCTTTAGTGCCCTTTGGAGTCTTTAAACTAAAGGATTCCTTTTTGGACGATGATTTTGAAGTCTTTCTCTTCTGGTTTAGTTGAGCTAAGGAAGAGGTTTTATTGGTATTTGCAATCGAATTCAAACTGGAGCTTGGGGGGTTAATTGAGCTCATTGTCAAATAGTATAATGGTCTAGCAATGTTTCTAACTTGTGTACAAGAGGATAATAGGCTCATAAACAAAAAACAAAGACAGAAAAAAAAAATAGTGAGATGTCTTCAAGTATATTTCCTGATTGAAAAAAATTTGAGCAGTGGAAAAGAAATGCCATAAAATTGAAGAGTGAGTAATATTTCATTTGCAGACCCCCGGATAAGGGTTTTTTGCATCTACCAGACCACCATTTCGAGGTCTGTTTGTTGTCATTTTGATAGAAGATGCAATTGTTTACAAGCTATTGAAGAACAAAACAACTTTGATTCGACTTCAATAGAACCATCTTTCTTCATTTCTTATCGTGTGTTTAATATTATTCCCTAGTTCAATCATACAATCCTCTCAATGGAAGAAGAACCAGAAACCCCAAAAATTCAAAAAATCTCTGTTTATACCCCAATAGCTTACGTAGCTATAATTTTGACTGTCTTCATTGTGTTTGTTAAGATATATCAAAAACAGCAATTGAAAAAAAAATTGGCTAGAGAATCATTGTTTGATCATAGTTTTGGCAAAGATGCTTATTACAAGTTAGCTTCTTTAGATGATCCCAAACCTCATGATAAACTACTTAAAGCTGCTTTTTTGAGAAAGGGTTCGGAAATAATAAGGAAAACAATCAAATTAAAAGAGTACGAGCCATTGATTTTGAAATTGTATGTGAATGGATCTATAAATGAAGAGTTTTACAACAACTACAAAGACGAAATTAGAGTTCAAGAATCTGAATTGAATTCAATGGTTAACGAAGTTGAAAGTTTTAAGAAAGGTTGGACTCCAAAATGTTTTCCATTATTACAAGAAATTACTTTTAATGAGGCTATCTCTAAAAGAATCGATTCAATGGATGCTAGAAGAAATGATTTCTTGGAAAGTAATGGATTGCAAAATATATATCAAGTTGTAAATCCAACAATCGGTAATGGTGAATCTACTAATAATGATAACCAAGCCAAAGGTAAAAAAAATAAAAAGAAATAAACAAAAAAATTAACAAAAATTTCCTAATTTTATTTTTTTGAATGTATTAAATTAAGAATTTATAATTAATAACATATTTTTATGGGGCTCTCTTTTCTGCGCTTTACATTTTAACTTTGGATCAAATAAAACTTCTACAAGTATTCCCTTTTTTTTTATTATTGTTTCATTTGTTTTTTGCTCAAAGAAAAACGTTATTCTATAATTAATTTATATTCCCAATTCCTAAATTAATTTAAATTGAAATCATCAGCCATTGGTTAAAATTAAAAGTAAAGAAAATAAAAACCCACTAGTGAGGTTTGAAAAATTTCAAAAATAATTAAGCTTTATGTTTACACTGTTATTTTTCTATATGAAAGTTATTGTAATAAATGAAATCTGTAATAAATAAAAAGTACAATTGACATATATTTTTGAAAATTAAATTTAATACAATAACCAATGAAAAATTAAAATAATATAATAATGTAAAAATGAAACAACGTAATATTAATATACTTGAACATATTTGATTTAAATAATCAGAAGTAAAATACTAAATCTAAGCAGCAATGGTAACGTCAACATCTACACCAGGTTCGATAGTGATTTGAGTGATTTTCTTAACAATACTAGCTGGTGCTTGTAAATCAATAACTCTTTTGTGAATTCTCATTTCATAGGCATCCCAAGTCTTTGAACCTTCACCATTTGGAGTTTTTCTTGTGCTAATTCTTAAAACTTTAGTTGGCATTCTAACTGGGCCTTTTTTAACTAAATCATGTTGAACAGCATTTCTGATAATTGAATTGGAGACTTTTTCTAATTTTTTAACTTGAGTAGAAACCAATGAGATTCTGATTTTGTGTACTTCTGGTTCGTTGTCAGCTTTTTCTTTATTGAATTCACTCATTTTCGGTTCTTATTGAATAACTTGTAATTAAATTGGTTACCTTGAAAAGTCGCTCAGATAATTGTCAAATATACTAGATAAAATTATTTTTATCTAATTAGCTTTCTCACGGCCAATACTCTTTCACTCTTCACTCTTCAGCATCCATCCTCCAATGTGTTTCTTCCGGTTAATCGCGTGAAAGATTGGTGACCCAACCGGACAGCTTAGTCAGATCTGTGTCATGGGTTACATGATAGAAAGCAATCACAAATTGTCTTTTTGGAGCTTGAAGAGTTATGTCACATGAATTTATTGAGGGCTTCTAAAATCTCATCTTTCAAATGCAACAGGGCTTTAAACTATTTAATCAAAATGATAACAATCTGCAATTAGGTATCGAAAGGGCTGTAGAGTTATTGGTGATAGATAATAGATAATAGATAATAGATAATAGATAATAGATAATATCGAGTTGATCGGTTGAAGAGTTGAAGATATAGAATACAAAAGAAAAACAGAGAGAACAAAGAAACAAAGAAAACATGGAAACAGAATAAAGGAGAGAGCGAGAAATGAGAATTAAACTGAGAATGGAAGAACAAAACTATGAAAGAGAGAGATTAAAGACGATGACCAGGAACCAAAGAAAAAAGTATTGAAAACCCAGCACTAGACAAACAGATCAATAATAGAACCCATATGCCTCTACGAATCAACAAGCGACTAACATAATACTCTTTGATCTTCATTAGACCAAGCCTTCTTGTAATAAAATTAGTATTAAAGGAACTATTAGAATGTTCTGAAGAGTAAGGAAAATTTGATTGTCTGCTTTCATCATCGTCGTTATTATAAGTATTAGTAGTTTCAAAATATTTGCAAAAGCTTAAGATAGGGTCCAATTTAAACAAAGCTGAAAGTATTAAATAAGAACCTAAGAAAAAAGGAACAGTAACAACTGGACGAGAGTCTTTTGGATCATAACCAAGAAAAATCAAAGTATAACCGGTCCAAAAAGCACAAAAAAAACAGAATAAACCAGATATTAATCTGATATTGTAAGATTTCAAAGTGATGTTGTTTAAAGCGGCGTATTTAAGAAAGTTTGGAAAGGCTTCTCTTTCCATTGCTTGAAATACATAATCTCTTGCTTCATCAAAAATCTCAGGATCGTCTCTGCCTTGGATTTCTATAGAATGACGAATTGAACGAATGATTCTTTCAGGAAGAAGCAATCTTTTTTCTGAATTGTCGATGAAATAAGTGACTAAAATTCTTCTAGAGGATTGTCTTAAATCATCTCTGGTAACAGTTTGATTTTTTTCATCTAACATTATATCATTATTGGAAGCTGGTTTTTTGAAATTTTGAAAGTTATCAAAATCATCATCATCGTTCAACATTTGCTCTACCATTTCAGGTGAGATAGTTGGAAGACCAGCGGGACCAGATGTTAAGGAGACAGCCGATTTGTTGATGTTTGATGTTTTTGGTTTTTCAGATGTAGAAGATGAGTTTCTCTTTGTGTTGTAAATATGTTCTAGTTCATTAATTATTGTGTCTCTTTTGTTTGGATTATTGGAGGATTGTTGAAACTCTTGTACTAAAGTGGAGATCCGGGGATCTTCGAAGGTATCATCGCCTCTTAGAAATGAGGATAATCTATTAAGGTGTTTATCATTGATATTGCCATCATTAATTAAAGCTTCTAATAAGACAGACGATGTAACCGAACCTCTTTGGTTTTCAGTATTGGAAAATGGACTATTACCTAGAATAGTGCCTTTTCCTCCAGTTATTGTAGTTAAGTTACTCAAGTGCAGTAGTTGTTGTTGGTCCGGAGTTAAAATTTTTGGTTTTGATATTTTTTGGCTAGTGGGTGGTGAGTTTGAAATAGGGCTTGTAGTGTTTAATAAATTTGGGATTGTAGGACTTGAATTGTTATGGTTTGATTCCAAAATAACAGATTTTCTCAAAGATTTGACGTACTGTTTGCATAAAGCCAAATGACTGACAACATCTATCCAAAAATCTAAATAGTCGACAGCATGTTGATTGTCTCTCATGAAGATGTAAAAAGACCATAGATCAACAGGAGGTTGTGTTTTTCTATTCAAGACTTCAAATAAAGTGGGTAGTCTATTCAATCTTTCACTCAATCCATATTCGTATAGCTGAGAGATGTTGTCTGCACTGTTTTGCGATGATAAAGACATTAAAAGAAAAATTCAAGAAGTTGAGATGTGAGTAGAGGGAAAAGCACAACGATTGCGAGAGATGTAGTTGATAAAGTAGGAGCTAAAGAATGAGGACAGAGAGGAAAAAGGAACGAATTTGTTGTGTTTAGTAGTGATTAAGTATTGGGGAACAAGATAGATATAGTAGATATACGAATGAACAAGGACAAAAAGACTGGGAGAAACAGATATTATAGTATGGAAAAAAGCTGTTTCATTGAAACAAAGAAAAGTGGTTAACAAGAGGAGTGGTCAACAAGAGGAGTGGCAGCTGGAGATAGTTGTGATGAAGAATAATTAGAATGACAATACGACTGAAGTGCTTTCCAGCTGGATAGTTCGTTAGATATTTACCTCACATGGAGGGAATGTGCTTTTTCTTTGGCGAGCGTTTCTCGAACGGGCTTGGGGCATGGCTCTTTTGAGCAAAGACGTGTGCAGGATGTGTGTCAGCGCTTACGTAACTTGCTATTTTTAGCGTACGCAGGCTGCTGCGACCAGCGCGTTGACAGCTATTGTCTGCTGCGTCTGCTGCTTTTGCTTTTGTGCTTCTCGACTTTGATGCTTTCCGGCTCCAACACAAAGCCACTTGTTCACTGCAAGAAAACACAAACGCTCAGCATGGCTATATATATGTCTATTTCCCAGAATCTCTGCTTCGTCTGCTACTCCTCATCTCTATCTTACTTGCTTATTCTTCAGTTCAATATCCTTAAATCTCCCACTGACTTTCAATTTTAGCTACAATGTCATCAGCACTTACAGCAGACTCAATCAAGTAAGACTTACCAATCTCAGTTTTCATTTCATACCAGACCTCTTATTAACCGCTCTTAAAAACATAGTCAAACAAATCTCAAGATAACTCAAATACCTGAAACATCGAGTTATGTTGCTCATCTCTCAACACTTCCTGCTCTTGCCGCTCTTACAGGTCTTGTTGCCTCCTTTCCGGTTCCAAAAATCTTTGCATCAAATGCTATTCCTCTTTTAATTTACATGAAAGATAAAAATGCAAACCAAATTCCCCTTGATAATGGTGACGCCGATGATGCCGATGATGAAGCAGATGATAATTGAATTATGATGCTTATATTTACTATATTCCACTTCACCACTGAATAAAAAATCTATATACAATAATTAGGATTTTCCCTTGAAATTATCAATAAATTAATTTCCTTTTCAATCAAAATCTCCCGTAAATAACTTAATACACTTCAAGCAAAAAAAAACAAAAAAACAAAAACCCAATACAAATCAAATTAGACAACAAACTTTTATGTTGTAAGTGTGTTGCTTTTCACCAATCTATACAATTCAAAACATGCAGCAGGAGTAATTCCTTGTATTCTTCTCGCCTGACCTAGTGTCTCTGGTTGTACTTTATTTAGTAACCCAATAACTTCATTACTCAAACAATTTGTAAATGCCTCATAATCAAAATTTATAGGCAACGATAACCCTTCTTCGTTCTCAAACGCTTTGATAAATTTTTGTTCTTGCTTCAAGTAAGGTAAATATTTTGACTCGGATTGAATGTCAATAAGAGTTCGTTCTGTTGGTATTCCATCTTGCTTTAGTAAATTTTTCGAAATTAAAATCGAAATTAATTCCTCAAACTGAATAGAAAACCGCAAAATATCATAAGCCGTTCTTTTTGTCCCATCATTTGAAACTTTTATACCCAAGAGTTTTGACCAATCATGAGCAGAGTAATAAATCTTCTTTAAAACATCAACAAACTCTTTCTTCAAAATTCGATCCTTTGAAAATCGATTCCATCGTCTTTCAGAAACGGCTCCCTTTTTGTATCCCATTTCGGTTAATCGCTGATCGGAATTGTCTGCTCGAATCGAAATTCGAAACTCAGATCTTGCTGTAAACATTCTATAAGGCTCACTCACACCCTTGGTAATTAAATCATCGATAAGCACTCCAGTAAATGCTTGCGATCTTTTAAGAATCAATGCTTCTTTATTTCGAAATGCTAATCCGGCATTTATACCTGCAACACATCCTTGTGCTGCTGCTTCCTCATACCCAGTTGTCCCATTAATTTGTCCAGCCAAATACAATCCGTCCACCAACTTTGTTTCCAATGTAGATTTTAAATCTCTAGGGTCAACGTAATCATATTCCACACCATAAGCTGGCTGAACCATCTCGACATTTTCTAATCCCACAATCATTCTTAAAAAATTCAATTGAATATCTTCTGGTAAAGAATTTGAGATCCCATTTGGATAAATTAAATCAGAATTAATTCCCTCAGGTTCTAACCATATTTTATGAGAATTCACTTCGGAAAATCTTTTAATTTTGGCTTCTAACGATGGGCAATAACGAGGTCCCTTAACCGTTTCCTTTATATGAATTGATTTATCAAAATTTGATCGAATGTATTCATGAACTTTAGCATTGGTCCTGGTCCCATAGCAAAGTAATTGGTTTTCTTGTCCAATTGGTATCACATCGCTCATAAATGAAATCGGAAATGCTGGATTATCAGGTTTTTGAATTTCTAAATTTTCAAAGTTTATAGATTTCTTAGATAGTCTTGCTGGTGTGCCAGTTTTCAATCTTCCTAATTGGAATCCGGATTCCTTCAAAGATTTAGATAATCCGGTTGTTGCCTTATCACCCATTCTACCAAATGCTGGAATAGTTTTTAATCCTATGTGCAATTCAGCAGATAGAAATGTGCCAGTGGTAATTACAATTTTGTCAGTTTTAATCAACTGCCCATTCTCTAAAATTAAGCCTCGAATTATTCCAGAGTTTTTCCCATTTGCAGATTTCTCAATTATTATATCTTCCGCACTTCCCTCTAATAAATTCAAGTTCTCATAATCTTTCAATATTGACTTCATGCTCAGTAAATATATATCTCGGTCAATTTGAACTCTGGGACCCCACACAGCAGAACCCTTTGATCTATTTAAAATTTTAAAATGTATACCAGCTTTGTCAGCCACTTTAGCAATCAATCCATCCAACGCATCTACTTCTGTCACCAAAGTTCCCTTTCCAACTCCTCCAATCGATGGATTGCAGGAACAAGTTCCAATTTTGTCAATAGAAGTGGTTATCAAACATGTCTGTGCACCACTTCGAGCTGATGATGCAGCTGCCTCACATCCAGCATGCCCACCTCCAATAACTACAACAGGATAAAATATGGAGTTATTTAGTTGAGTCTTTAAATCTGAATTTAAATAGATATTTCTCGCAACTTGGGTTGGTAAAAACTTTGAAAATTCAAAACAAGATCTTGCCCTGAAAAACATAAATCTGTTTTTATTTAAACAAGCAATATGGTTGAACAGAAAATTATTTTAAAACAATTATATTCAGAGCTTTTTTGAATTAACTCTTTAAAAGAATAAATGTGAATTTTTGGATGCTCATCTTTTCATCAAATAATTTTTTTTGATAAATTTTGACATTTATCACGTGAAATTTGAACCTTAACTTAAAAGCAGAAAGCGATTTATTAATTTTTATTATATTGTATATTATATCATATTAGATTATCTTTAACCGAATTGAGTGGAGATATAACTAGAATATATAAAAACACTATCAAAGGGTAACTTTTAACATCAAACTTCTCTAAAAGAGTTACTAAACAGCATTTTTAATAATTACATTGCAACACTGATAAACTGAGAGCAGTATAGTCGCTGATTAGTTTATTGGTTTATTACCTATCCACCACAAGATAACAAAAATAAAGCAACTTTAAATCCAAAAATAAATACCAAAAAACAAATACCAAAAAATAAATACCAAATAGAAGAAAAACCAAAAAAATTAAAAAAAAAGAACAATATTCACGAATAGAGAAATCAAAGAAAAATAAACCAATGGGAAAATAATGAAAAAATAGAAAAATAAAAAAAAATATTGATTGGAAAACGTTTGTTAAAAGACACAGTTGGAATCGTATTTCCTATCAGTGAATGGTTGAGGAAATAAACCATATTTTACCAAGTCTTGCATGCTCCACTGAACTGAGCTGTCCATTTTCCAGTTCCAAAATATCCAACCATAACCACCATATTCGAAAGCATTTAACTGATTTTCAATAAGCTTTCTAGTTTTTATTTTCATATTATCAGTCCAATAATAAAATTCTTGGTTGTACAATGAGTTTTCATCGGTGTCCCAAGCAGCAGTAAACTCACCAGCAACATATTTATGAGTGGTGACTTTTTTTAAATCATCCCCCCAAGAACAGATTTTATTTAGTTTTTTATTGTAGGGCATTGTTTTGTAAATATCATCAAATAATAGATAAAAATGACTGTCAAAAACAATATTAGTGTAGGACGTCTCATCATTCATAAAATCATTCCAAAACCCTAGGTACTTGTAAGCATCGTGTAATATTATGTTATTAATACCATCTGTTTTGTTTCTTAAAATTCCATAAACATCACTATAAAAAGCTTTAAGGTGGTCTTCGCTCATGGATTGCTCCGAAATTATTGGTTCATTCAACAACTCAATACCAGCAACAACATCGCTATAAGCATGGCTGCCATATTTCTCAAATATTCGTTTTAGAATTAATTTTGAAGTGTTTGTGTTGTTTTTAGTCGAAAATTCGTAAAGGTCAGCACAACCTGAGTTATCAAAACCATTTTGCGACCCTGGTGCACCATGAAAATCTATCCAAGCTTTCAATCCATAAGTTCTTGACCATGATAGTGCTTTTTCAAGATAAATTTCCTGGCTGCCTTTGTAATAAGGGTCATTGTCTAACTTTTCAAATGCCCAATATCCAATTGGAATACGAACAAGATTAACGCCATATTCCTTCATTTGTCTAAAATCATCTTCAGTTATAAATGTTGCATAATGAGCTTCAAGAAGTTCACCGCAACTAGTCTGACCTAATTCTTGACAAAAATGAAACTCATCTCTAGGTATACTATACGGAAAATTATTTCTTGAGAAAAGTTGTGTATTTATGAATTTCTCCACAAGTAACCAACCTCCAATATTAACACCTCGTATTGGGTTATCTTTTGAATAATCATATACTTCATTGTCAACAGTATTAAAATTACCAGAATTACCAAAGCTATCAAAGCTATCGAAGCTATCAAAGTTATTGAAGTTATCATAATTATCCTGGTAATATTGATAAGAGATATTATACTCGTTATTTTCTTTTGTTGAATTTACTTGAAATCGCTGAGTCACTTCTCTTTTCATATTTTGTAAATATATTGGAGCAGAAACAGCTGCATTAAAGAAAAATAGAAACTTGAGTAATCGTTGTTTTATGTTAATCATATTATTATGTTTGAGTTTCTCAAAAAGCAAAGATATTTTGATTTCCTAAGATTCTGACACATATTTATATGAACCTCAATTATATCTCCTTTTTTTTTTGATAATTACACCAGTTGCAATCACAAAACTAGAACCACAAATTATTGATTGATCTAGTACACAAATAGTAGTGGATGCTTTTGAAATTAAACATTTAAGATGATGGCTCCAGCATTCAATAGAAATATTTTCCTGGCTTACATTGGTTTAGGACCATTTCTTCACACCTAATGATGTATTCTTTAGTTAACGAATTTGATTTCTTGACGCATTTGGTAAAATAATAATAGATCAATTGGACCAAATCCAGGAAAATCATTTAGAATACCTGTTATTCATCGACAATCCAAACTCTCTAATCGAAGCCAGCAATTCCAATAGATATTTTTTCATGGCGACAATTACCAGCAAATTAGTGCTGTCATTGATACTTTGTGTTCTATGGTAAAGTACTTGCAGTGCATTCTGTTTGTTGATACGATTACACACAATAACTTAGAGTTTGCATCTTCAGATCTACACTAAAATCAGCTTTTTCCGTATTGTTGAAATATCTACAATTATAGAAATTGAATAATATATAGTGCTTTCAATGTTAAATAGTTGTTTCAATACTACAGAGCTTTTTCTGGTGGCTTAAATCTCAACCGTTGACCTTCATGATATATATTATCGAGTGTATTTTCAAACTCCCCTATGGCTTTTAACTCCAAATATTTTTTGTACAACTTTAAAGCTGTCAAAGCATCCTCTATCGAGTCGTGATTTCCTAGTTGAACGTCCTGTTTTAAAACAAAATACGATAAAAACTTCAACGACAACTTTCGTTTCTGGTCAGGCTTGAAATATAGCTCAATAGTATCTCTTACCTGTTCTTTTGGAACTTGAATATTTATGATCCTGAAATCATTTGTTAGCCCATGGCCAATAAAAACACATCCGAGCTGGAGTAAAAGCCAAAGTTTTCTGTAAGCAACTTCAAGATAAACTAGTGATCGTTTACTGGTGGCAGGATCTAAATCCCCAGGTTCAATCCCAGAAAAAGACGTTAAATAATCGGCAATTGTTGACCGTATAATTATATAGTCATCAATAAACGGAACACCCTGCTTTGGTCCATTGTCTCCCCTAAGAACAGATACCCTAGCAAGTGATTGCTTTTGAGGTTTGATCAATGATCTTGTTCCATCGCTCCTTAATTCTACTTCTTCACGTTCTAAAAGAACAAATTCTGCATCAATTGCAACCAATGAACCGGGATTTGGAGCCTCACCGTCAGTTAGTAGTTCATACTCAATTATCTTCCCTTCTCTAGTACCCTGAGCAAAAAAATCGCGATACAATACTTCATCATTAAGTCTAGTATCAAAATTGCTCTTAAATTCATTTGAAGCCTTGTTACTTTGATATATCAATATTAATGGAGTCTTCCACCAATAAGTAATATTGAATACTTCTTCTTCAGGAATAGGCATAATGAGAAAATCATTAAATAAATACCATTTATATGGTTTCTGTGTATCTGCATCGTCAGCACAGGGTTCTTTATTCTCATCATAAATTTTAACAAAAGAAACTAAATGCGAGCTTTCTTCTGAATTTCCAGCGATTTCTGCAACATATCCCATCAACTCGTACTTTACAACCTCATTATTGTAATTTTTTCTATTTTTTGTAGAAGTATTGGATATTGAACCCAAAGAACTGTTGCTTTCATCTAAAGATTCGGGTCTTTGTTTATTGCTTATATTGAAATCTGAATAGCTCGGCTTTAATATAGGCCTTTGAGATGAATTAGATAATTTTGCATAAAATTCACCACTCAACCAATGTCTTCGAGTGTGAGTATTAGCATAACTTTTTTTAGAAATATTACGACGAATCTGGCCCCACTCATCCTTTGTAAAATTCAAGTTTAACGACAATACCTTGGGCAAATTCCTTACTACTCTTGTTGTCTCCATAGTTTGATATTTATGACACTTGTCACACCAACCTCTTGTAGCAGATACTCTATTCATGGAAGATTCAATATAAGATAAGATCGTTTGTGGGATATTATTGTACCTTTTATTTATAGAATTTGAAAAAAAGGAGCCCATCTCTCCATACCTTTGAACAATACCTGCAGTTGAAGAAAAGACATCTAGCGTATAAATGATTTCATACTTTTGTTTTGAAAATTTACAGGCACTTATTTGAACAACTGTTTCGAGATCTAATCCACAAATTTCATCTATTTTAGTGAAAATTGCTTTATTGCCTTTAAATATTTTTTTAGATTTCAATGATTTTTTCAAAAAAATTTCATTGTCGTCTTTTTCTTTGAGGCTTATTGATCCGGCATCTGGGTTGGAACAGGGAGAACTTAAAGAATCAGTGTCGTTGTTATTAGTTTCAGTGTTTAGCAATAAACTTTGATTATCAAAACTTATATTTTCATTTAATTTCAAATTGGACTTATTAATAAATTCTTTTTGTTTTTGCTCATCATATGATAATCTATCCAAAAAAAATCTGTTGAATGATTGAACAATATTTTTGAGATACTCCTCTGTTGGTTCATTTTCATCTATATTTTTCATTTTTAAATTTTCTGAAAAATTTAGCAAGCCTAAGGCAAACGCCTGAGGATTAGAGGACATAATAATTTGAAAATTAGTCGGTCTGCAATGTTTGCCTTTTGCTTTAACCATCATGTCTAATAAAAATCCGAACTCAATCAATATCGAACTAATATGATCAGAAGAGTACGTCCTGTTGTTCTTAACATCCAATTCTAAATTTAAGAAATCTTCTCGAAGATTTTCAACTAAAAAATTAAAAAGTTCTGGAATAAATCTATAAACTTGTAATAAAGAATTCATATATGAGTTTTCAATATGAGTTTCCAAACCAGAATATTTTTTTGACTTATTATAAAATTCAAAATTAAAATCATTAATACCAAATTTGGAATATAAAATTTCAAGTTTTTGGAAAGCTCTAGGAATTTTGTTTGGGTATTCTTTTGATGGTTCAAGTTGAAAAATTTTTTGTTTTATGGATATTTCATCATCATCATAATCTGAATCTGAATTATTATCTGAATTGATATTGAGATTCTTTAAGCTTTCATTATTTTCATCAATAAAATCATGAACATTATGGCGGTTATTTGGTTTTATTGTTTTCTGGGAAATAAATTTAGGAATAGATAAGCCTGATTTTTTATTTTTATCAACTGATTGATATTTCTGATATAAATTTCTTCTTCCATATTTAGATTTATCGTAATTTGAATAAATTATTCCATCGACTTTTTTTGATTTTATCAATAATTCATTGTCTATTTTTTTGGGAATTTTTGAGTTTTTTGCAGGAAAAATCAAATCTGATTTCCATGCACTTAATAAAATATCTTTATAGTAGGGCATACCAACCAGACTTAGGGGCTTTGAGTAATCATCTATATGAAAGGATTGTTTAGTCGTGTAATCGAAATCTGGAATTGTAGGATATTGTAAGCTAACTGAATGATTACACATTGAAGAATGATCTGGATTAATTGACCATAAATGTAAAGAATTTAGATTGTCACAAAATGCTAAATAATTTCCGGAGGTTGAGAGATCCATGTTATTCAAATAAACTCCGGTAGAAACCTGGTACATTGAAAAATTAGCTTGATTAAACATATCAACAAATTGGACCTGGCCGGATGGAGAAGATATTGCAATAGTGTTGGATAATTTATGATGTAGTCTTAAAAAGGAAGGACCAGCTTGAAAAGATAAAGGTGGTAAAGATTTTAGCATTCTTAAATCATAAACATTAATTATTGGATCAATCAAAGTTGAAGAGTGTCTTTTGGAGGTTCCGGAAGTAACTAAAAGGTTATTTTTCAAATCTATATCAGCAAATGTGCTAGAGTGACATTGAAGACTTTTAATAATTAAGTTTTTTTTCGAATTTAGATCCATTATGTCCAATTCACCATTAGATTTGCCGATTGTGATTAAATTATTATTTGAATTCAAAAAAGAAACTTTTTGATTATAAGGAATTCTGGAAATGACTTTTTGATAATTTATATCAAATTTTAATAAGGAATTTGAAGGTAAGTCGCCAGCAATTAAAATCTGATTTTGATTTTTGCTATTGATAAAAGTCATTGATTTCATATTTTTAAAATCACTAAAACTATCATAATTTTTAACTAAATTCTCAGATTTTAAAAGATTGGGTTCATTTTTGGAGTTAAAATCATCAAAATCAAAAAAACTATCGTTGTTGTCAAACAAATTAAAGCCATTGTCGTTGATACTATTGACACCGAGGTTGTTATTATTGCTGATGCCATTAAGAAGATTAAAACTATTGATATTGCTAACACTATTTTTATTGATATTGCTGGTATGATAAAATTTGGGAACACCTCCGGTGTTTGTGAATTTCAAAGCATCAGAAGATAAGGATAGTAATCCATTGGAATTTGAATGATTCAAAAATTTCAAGACTGGGTTTTTATGAGACGATGCTTGAAATCCAGTGTAAAAGGATAAATCATTTCCATTGTATGAAGAAACAAAACCTTTAGAGTCACCCACCCAGATTAATTCATGGGCGTCATCAAATTTCAAAGCAGAGGCTACACGAGGCCTGTAATAGTTCTCCTTTCCAGGAGTTCTTATATGCTGAACATTAACCTTGGGGCAAAAGCAGAAGAAATTATTAGTACATTGCGACAAGCAAGTGAGTGTGAGTCAATACCAGTAAAAGCAAAACATACTTCGTGCCAACCCTCCATAGTTGATGACCAATAAGCACTGAAGATCTGGGGATATTGACATTTACGGATCAATAGTGGTTATTGATAGCTCTTCATCAAGTGCAGTGAACTGTTGCCGATTATATCCACTTCCCAAATAGGCGCCGAAACCACGCCCCGTCGGCAAAACCCCCGACGCCCGGCAAAAATAAAAAAGAATGCCAAAAAATGATATAGATTACAATCAAAAAAAAATAAAAAATGGTTATATAACTATATAATTAATGATATTGTTGTTCTTTTCATAAATACTGATTTCTGATTTCCTTAAATGCAGCTAAGACATCGGGCTTTAAAGTGCCTAGGGCACTTTCTGGCAATTGCAAGACTTTTGCAATTAAATCCGCTTGATTTACATCGAGAGTTGATAGTTTTTCAATGGTTTTCTGAGGTAAATTAGCCCATTCTGGTTTCACGTATGAAGGAGAAGAGACTATAGAGGGACCAGAAAAATTTTTTTGAGGCAAAGCTAATGAATTGGAAAATTGCTGATAAGAAAACTGTTGATTAGAAAATTGTGGTGATGGAGGTTGTAGAATTGAAGAGCGTACTTTTGGAGGAACTTGAGGCAAGAAGGGCTGCTGAGGCTGTGGCTGGTTAACTTGATTTATTTGCAGAGGTTGTGGCTGATTAATTTGGCCCATCTGCTGGGGAATCTGCTGGGGCATTTGTTGTGGAAACTGTGTATTCATTTGCTGGTTCATTTGCTGATTCATTTGTTGGGGATAAAAGGATGTTTGTTGTTGCTGCTGTTGTTGCTGCTGCTGCTGTTGCTGCTGCTGCTGTTGTTGCTGCAGTTGCTCCTGTTGTTTTTGTTGCAAGGTATTACTGGTTAAAACTGCAGCTTTTTCTATCGTGTCGGTATCAATTAAACCCATTAAAAATAGAGCTTGTGATATAGATATAGTTAATTCAGAAGACAATTTAAGCAAATCCGAAGCAGCTTGAACATTTTGAGCAATCAATAAATTTTTCAAAAACGAGATCATTTGAATTACTTGAGGAGGTCTAGTTTTGGATAAATTCAAAGATATCTGATCATTTGGAGGAATTGTGAACACAGATTCATCAAACGAAGGTAAAACGTTAATGGCATTTAATAGATCAGCATTTGTTATTGATTTTACATTTTTGGGAATATTTGGGATAGTAGTGTTGGGGATGTTGGCATTATTGGAGATATTGGGAAAAGCAGAATTGTTAGAATTCATCAAGTTCACTGGGTTTAAAGGCAAACTGCTGTTTTGGAATTGCATTTGCTGATTTTGCATTTGACTATATGGAATATTCTCATCGTCTAACAACATATCATTCGGAAAAGTAATATTGTCAGGCAAAAATCTTCTATCTAGTTTCAAAGAGCTTTTTGGCTGGGTTGGTCCAAAAGTCCTCAAGCCCTCCTTGGATAATTCTACTCTAAAGCTTTTACCTTTATACTTGATTTGAGATAGTAGTGTCAAAGCTTTTCTTGCATCGAATGAAGTTGAATATTCAATGAAACAAAAACCTTTATTTTTACCATGATCCATTTTGATTCTAACATCAGTCACTTGGCCACTGCCTTTGACAATGCTCTTGATAACATTGACATCCCATTCGTAGGGTATCTGGCCAAGATATATCACACTAGATGAGTTGTTTGATGGTTTGCTTCGTCCCATCATCACTGGTTACTACTACTTGGAACCACTGACTTCCTGGAACTCTGTGCAGTCGTTTTGTTCATCTTTTTTTGTCACAGAGCATATTGTCACGTGAGAGACTTCAGAAAATGTGCGGTTTCAGAGCGGATACCTACACGGCACGTGTTAGAGCGGTGGAAATATGTGCACGGATGTTTTCCGCTGTTTACGGACGCGGCGTGGGTTTTGAGAATTTCCGGCCTCCTGTTGGGGACATAAAGGGTGGTCTTAAAGGGTGGTAATAACAAGCTGTGCAAGAAAATGGTGTGAATAGGTTGACAACAATTACTGATTTGATGGTTCTACCCACCAGGTTGTGATTTTTCCAGAGCATTGATGTTGTGCTGTTTTCTGTGGGCGATTGTTCAACCATGTTCAAAGAAAGACGAAATGGTTTGGGCTGACATTCAGAATCTTGCTTGATTTCACTCAATTTCACACTGCTCAGTGCTCTACTTCTTAACCTCTTGGGGTGGGGGAGTCTAATCTCTTGATTATTGTATTATTATTCGCCAATTGGATTTTAATCGAAAGCTGTTAGTGTGAAGAAGCCTTCTAAAAACGATTTTACTTAAACACAGTTGGCTATCCTCTTTGCAGCACTTCAACTGGTTCATCTTAATAATAATATGCAATTACATTCCAAGTTTACTTCCTAAAAGCTAATTGGAAATCGCTAGCTGAACCTTGTTAGACTTCAAGATTTTGTTTATTTAGGAGTAGATCAATATGTTTCTTTTGAATGATATCAAAATCCTTATTATTTATAAAAATACTCCCACATAGCAATATAACAAAACAACATTATAACACTATAATATAACAATAGAATATAATATAATAATATAATAATAATTTAGTACAGAATAATACAATATAATACAATATAATATAATATAATATAATACAATATTACACTAAAAGCATAAAGGCAACTATAGTATTCGATTTAAATAAATCTAAATAAATCCTTATTAAGTAATAATACTCATACAAAATGCCTGATAATATGTCTTCTGATGACCCAGAGCTATTACTGAAGGAAAAATCTCTCTCTCCTGGTTTTCCTTATGATTATGATCAAGATGAAGATTTTTTAAATGAAGAAGAAAACCTTGAAGAGCTATTAGATGAATTAGAATCTATTGATGGCAAAGAAGATGATGACAATGAAGTGGTTGAAGATGAAACCTTAACCAGAACTTCTCATCCTGTTCCTGATGAACTATTGCAAACGAATCCATTGCTTGGTTTGTCAGACGATGAGATTCTAAAAAGAAGAAAAAAATATGGTCTTAATCAAATGGAAGAAGAACAAGAAAACTTGGTTTTAAAATTTGTCATGTACTTTGTCGGTCCAATTCAATTCGTAATGGAGGCTGCTGCTGTGTTGGCTGCAGGTTTACAAGATTGGGTCGATTTTGGTGTTATCTGTGCCTTATTATTATTAAATGCAACTGTCGGTTTTATTCAAGAATATCAAGCTAATACCATTGTCGAAGAATTGAAAAAAACTCTAGCCAATTCAGCCTTTGTTTTAAGAAATTCCCATATCATAGAAATCCCTTCAAATGAAATTGTTCCTGGTGATATCTTAAGATTAGAAGAAGGTTTAATTATACCTGCTGATGGTCGTTTAATATCTGAAGATTGTTTTTTGCAGGTTGATCAATCTGCTATAACCGGCGAATCCTTAGCCGTTGAAAAACATTGTGGTGACTTAACCTTTGCTTCCTCTACTGTCAAAAGAGGTGAAGCGTTCATGATTGTCACTTCAACTGGTTCATCAACTTTTGTTGGTCGTGCTGCTGTATTGGTTAATAAAGCATCAAGTGGAACTGGTCATTTTACCGAAGTATTAAATGGTATTGGCACAATGCTTTTGATTTTGGTCATGGCCACCTTACTACTAATTTGGACAGCTGCCTTTTATAGAACAACGTCCATTGTAAAAATCTTACGTTACACTTTGGCAATTACAATGGTTGGTGTCCCAGTTGGTTTGCCTGCTGTTGTCACTACAACAATGGCTGTAGGTGCTGCTTATCTAGCTAAAAGAAAAGCAATTGTTCAGAAATTATCTGCAATTGAATCACTTGCTGGTGTTGAAATCCTTTGTTCAGATAAAACCGGAACTTTAACCAAAAATAAATTATCTCTTTATGAACCTTACACTGTCGAAGGAATTTCGCCTGATGAGTTGATGCTCACGGCGTGTTTGGCTGCTTCAAGAAAGAAAAAAGGGTTGGATGCTATCGATAAGGCCTTTTTAAGATCTTTAAGAAGTTACCCAAGAGCAAGAGAATCTTTGACAAAGTATAGGGTGCTTGAATTTAGGCCTTTTGATCCAATCAGCAAAAAAGTCACCAGTGTAGTTCAAGCTCCCAGTGGTCAAGTTATTGTTTGTACAAAAGGTGCGCCATTATTTATTCTTCGAACTGTGGAAGCTGAAGCTGATATCCCAGAGGAAATCCGTGAAAATTATGAAAATAAAGTTGCTGAATTTGCTTCAAGAGGTTTTAGATCATTGGGTATTGCAAGAAAAGTTGGAAACCGACCATTTGAAATTCTTGGTATAATGCCATGTTTAGATCCTCCAAGAGATGATACTGCCGAAACAATTCGTGAAGCTCATAATCTAGGATTAAGAGTGAAAATGTTAACTGGTGATGCTGTTGGCATTGCCAAAGAAACCTGTCGTCAATTGGGACTAGGCACAAATATCTATGATGCAGAAAGATTGGGTCTTTCTGGTGGAGGTGACATGCCTGGATCTGAAATTGCTGATTTTGTTGAAAATGCAGATGGCTTTGCAGAAGTGTTTCCTCAACACAAATATAATGTTGTAGAAATCTTGCAGCATAGAGGATACTTAGTTGCAATGACTGGTGATGGTGTTAATGATGCCCCATCTCTTAAAAAGGCGGATACTGGAATTGCTGTTCAAGGTGCAACAGATGCTGCCAGATCAGCAGCAGATATAGTGTTTTTAGCACCAGGATTGTCAGCAATTATTCATGCTATTTGCATATCAAGACAAATTTTTCACAGAATGTATGCATATGTTATCTACCGTATTGCTTTGTCATTGCATTTGGAGATTTTTTTTGGGCTTTGGATTGCAATTCTTGATCGTAATTTAAAGATCAATCTTGTTGTATTTCTAGCGATCTTTGCAGATGTTGCGACATTAGCAATTGCATATGATAATGCACCATTGGCGCCTCAGCCAGTTAAATGGAATCTACCTAAATTATGGGGGATGTCGATTGTATTAGGGATTATATTGGCTATTGGGACATGGATTTGTTTGACAACGATGTTTATGCCCCGAGGAGGTATTATACAAAATTTTGGATCAATTGATGGCATAATTTTTTTAGAAATATCGTTGACCGAAAATTGGTTGATTTTTATTACAAGAGCAACAGGGCCATTTTGGACCTCATGTCCATCATGGCAATTAGCTGGGGCAGTATTTGTTGTGGATGTGATATCAACGTTGTTTGCCATTTTTGGATGGTGGGCGCAGAACCAAACAGATATTGTAACAGTTGTGAAGGTTTGGATATGGTCATTTGGAGTCTTTTGTGTTATGGGAGGAGCGTATGTGTTAATGTCAAGATCAGAAGCATTTGATAGGCTTATGAATGGAAAGTCATTAAAAAAGACCCCTGGACCAAGAAATGTGGAAGATTTCGTAATGGCAATGAAAAGAGTTTCTACTCAACATGAAAAATCTGGTTAAGGCTCACTACTTTTGGTTTCAGTTATTTTTTGTTTAATTTTTATTTTGATTGTTTTTTTATTGTTATTGTTATCATTAATACGAGATTGCAAAACTTTCAACATTCAATTAAAAACATTTTATACAATGAGTGTTTTGAGGAATGTTATGATTAATTTTTTAATATAAACCTGTTTATTTTGCAGTCTTTCCAGTGTCTCTTGTTGATGAATTGTTATAAGATTTCCTATTATGAATTTATTTATTTCTTGATTTATTTCATTAATTCTTTCATTGATTCTTTCATTAATTCTTTTATTAATTCTTTCATTAATTCTTTTATATTCTTGTTTAGTTTTTTTATTTTGTTTTTTTCTTGAATTTTTCACTGTGGTATAAACATTTTTTCTAATAAAATTTAATTAGTATTAGTATTATTATTAGTAAGAATCCTGATAATAAAGACCAAGTGGAAATCTGGAAATAGTTGGAAAACTAAAAGATAAATCTAGCGGATAGTTATTTTTTTTGCAGTAAAAATTTAAAAGTTACGTAAATGACACAGACTCGACTCCTAAGGTGGATTTTAAATTCTAGCTCCATAAAGATATAAACGCCACAACCACAATCAAATATAATTATTTTTTTTTTTCATTTTCCAAAAATAAATTATTCAGTGATATGTCAGATAATCACTAAAAAACATCGGCAATTTTTTTTACTATTAATTGATATCTAGATATTAAGTGAATTTTCTGATATGATCTAAAGGAAGAAGAGTAAAACGAATTGACAATAATTTTAAAGAGTCGATAAACAGCCATTTCTAGATATGTGGTTGTGAAAAATTGAAGGTATCCTTATTTCCTTATTAAACCAACTCCGTTCCAAACACCTCCTCAAAAAATAGAAACGTGCAGAATGCAGATGTAGCGCGAATAGTGCATTGTATTGCAGTTTATAGTTTCGGACTTACTGATTTAGCAAATGGCGTGACGGGCGAAAAAAAACCACCTTTATTTCTTCTGCAGAAGAATGCAGAGCTGGAGAAAGTCGGGTGTATCGATCAGTTCATGGAACTCTCCGTATTTGAAAGGTGTGTCTTTCAATTCCTGACTGCGCAGGGTTCTACAAAAAGTAGGTGCTTCTGCCTCTCCAAATAATTTGTCAGAAGAAAGTGCAATTGAAGACGGTTTTGTAACTGCAGCACCAAAGAGAAGTAGTATAATTGATGTAGCCCACAACAGCAAATATTTCATTTATGCTTAAATAAAAGTATTTAAGACACAATAAGAGTTACTCCTCAGTTATCTAACTAACATTTTGATGGTTAACGTTTGAGAAACAAAAACAAACAAACAAACAACAACTCCTATTGGTTAGGAAGAAATCGACGTGAGTATAAAATTATAACATGATACCGATGTTACTTTTTGCCAAAAAAATAAAAAAACAATATCAGCAAATATTGGAATTGAAAACAAGTGAGGGGATTGAAAAATTTCAGGAGCTAACTGATTTGAATAGACCCATTAGTTACAAATATGTTTTTGAAATTGAACGAAGCTGATTCGAAAAAAATATTTTTGGAATAATTGATTCAGCGAAAGATGGGGAACACTGAGAGTGAGGTGCTTGCAATAATAATCAACAAGTTGGGACTACAATTTTATTCAATCTTTCGAATTCTTTGAATTCTTTGGATTTTAGAACTTGAACTATGCTGTCCCCCAAATGTTCAAGTTTGCAAAATCCAAAACAACAGACAATAGGGTTTAAAGATTAGCTGGAATGAGTTTGGTTAGCCTTTTTTTTGTTGATTGTTATCTTATTCTTTTGTTTAAATCTAACAAAGAGAAGACTCAAAGTATGTGACCATGCGATGAAACCCACAAAACGAGATATTGCTAAATGTAGACTTCAATTCCCAAGAGTCATAGTGATCATTAATTTATTTGTGCAATGATTATATGACTGTTATGTTTCCCATCTTGTCTATATCACTATATGGCTATAGTATGATGATTATATTTCATATTATCCTACTATTGAAACAGTGCTACCGTATTATTAATAATGCAGTTTAAAGGAATAAATTTAGTGTGAAAGAAAAAGCAAGAACTACGAAAAACAAAGCAGAGATAGAACGAGCAAGTCTGGAAAAAAATTTCAAAGGAACGTTTTTCACTTTTTCCATGATTTCTCGAACAGGTGTGCTAGCAAATTTGAATTTGAAGAGGAAGCAGTGAAAAAGGTGGAACAAAAATAAAAAAAAGCGAGAAATTTTCAGTGAAATAAGAAAATTTTGCAATATGAGGTTATGACAATTACAAACCAGCGTCTGATTATGCAGGCTGCTGCAACCTGATAAAGAGCTCGAAATGACCCGCACTAACAATATAGCCTTGTGTAACCAGGATGCGATGCTACTCATCCCACTAAGAGCCAAACCATAATCACGGAGCCATTATAACTGACATATCCTAAAAAGAAAGAAATGAAGCAAAAGAGAGAAAAGTTTTGCAATGTTCAATCCCTAAACCTAAAGCAAAATTTAATATAAATAGATTACAATCTCCTGAGTTGTTTACTGTTTTTTTTCTATTCTCTATCTCATAAGCACAAGCATAATCACAATCACAATACCAGTTTCTTATTATCATTATAGCAGTAACTGAATTTAATTCACTATCCAATAATACACATTATCATCAATTGACTTTTAAAAATGTTGCCAACTGTCGTCTCAACTTCAATCACCTCTTCAATCATCCCAACTGTCTTAAAGGCCACAACCACAAGATCTTTCTCCTCTTGTGTAAGTGCTTTGACTAAGAAAACCGACGGTAATACTTATAAAACATTTGCTGAATACAGATTCCAAGCTAGTCAGGTTGGTCCTTTAGCTGGTAAACCATTTAAATTGCTAACTCATGATACCAATGGTGTCTTGGTCGGTCCAAAAAACAAAAAACAAAAAGAATTCGTTCAACCAAAAGAATCAAACTAACTGATTATTGATAATTGAAAAGAAAATTAAAAAAAAATCAAAATCAAAAAAAACAAACCAATCAACGAAACTAATCTATTTGCTACAGGTTTTTTTATCTATTCAGCAGGTCCTAAAAATCAATTTAAGCTGCTCTGTTTTACTATGATGACGCTTTTTTTTATCTTTTGTTTTATTTTTGATCAATTACAATCTGTTCAGCGTTTTATTGACTCAAGATAAGAGCAAAATTTTTATTCCATATCTACCAAGTGTTTTAACTTCTATTCTATATTCATCCACTAAATTTTTTTATTTTTTAAAAGTTTCAATTTTTTTCAATTTTTTTTTCTTTGGGTTTTTTAATGGTTTCCATAATATACATAATATACATAACGCGCAATACATAACATAAAAATACAACCGAAAACAACCAAATTGTAGTTTTTCCTCATCTCTACCTGTATATTTGCCCGCAAGTATTTGTGCCTCTATTCAAAATTTATTCAGGATTTATATATCTTTTAGCCTGAGCTGAGATGAACGGAAAAAGTATCATGCGATTCCAGCGCCATACATACGGGTTTTGCTCTTCCTCAACCCAACTTTGCGCAGACAAAAACTTACAGCTCCAACAGGTAAACTCCTCACATTGGACAATTGCACCTTGAGTCGTTTCTATCTTTGTATTTGTGCCGAGACATACAACTTTTTTGATTCAATCAAATCTGGTTACACCAAGCTATACCTACTTATCAATCTGATATTCGCTACCAAACTACATATCTGAAAAGTGGTTCTACTTCTACATTGTCTGGCCCATCCTCTTAAAAACGTGAAAAATCACGTCCTCATAATTAACAAAGTCGCCCACCCATTAAATTCATCAGAGTAATTGATTCAATACTAATTGGATGATAAATCATGATGGCAAATCCACTTAAATGAATATGCCCACTTCCACTCTGATTACATAAGCCGGGAGCTTGGGCTTAAGGAAATGTTTCTGTTCCCTTCCTTTACCAAGCTATCTCCAACTATGAAATCATTTTTACTCCACCAGACTTGCTAGGGCCCTGGTGCGGCCAAGCCTTCCCTAACAGGACTGGGTTTTGTATCTTAGATTCTTCCTTCCACAAATCTAGCAAATCCTGTTTTACGCCATAAGTACACAGTTTTGCTCTGCTGCAGCTCCCACAGAAAATATGCACCAGTTTGATGTTCAAGAGCGCAAAAAAGCAACGTGATTATCAGCCCTTCTTCTGTGAGAGCGCAATCGTCTAAATTGGGAACCGCAGCGTGGGCGTCTGCAGCCAAAATAGGCAGCTCAGTCTTGCTTCCTGATTTGGATACCGGTGCCCGTTACTCGTCAAACACAAAATTACGTTTTGCGAATTTCGTAATACTGTTTACGTCTTTCGGTACTTCAGCTGATGGTTATGGAATTGTTTGCTAATAATTTTCATCTGTTAAATGGAAAAACGTCTGCAGATGGAAAATAATACACTGGAAATCTCTGATTTGCTGCAAAATGACTGTTTAGTTTCAAATTTGGACGCAAAAACAAAGAAAACCTACAAGACAATCAAAGATAGAATATACTCCATATTGAAGGATGTTGATTTCATTCTCGCTGTAGCCAATTTACTATCAGATTATCCACTAATTGCAAACGAAAGATGTGGTTCTTGGTATATTCCAAACCATCTTTTATATGATACGTGCTATTTCAAATCAACTGACTCTCATATTAACGAATGGGATTTTTCTTTAAGAAGATTGAATCTCCATTTGCTAGACATAATTAAACAAAAACATGGAATAATCATTATTGACTCAACCAGATCAACCAAAAAAAAGGTTTTTCCAGATTCTTTGAGTAAAACAATACCAATATGGTGCGCAGTTTTAAATTACATTCGATTTTCAGATAAAAACAATATAAACAAACAAATTAATGAAAATTATTTATTTTTACCAAAATCAATTTCAAAATTCGAATATGATAATATTTATAGATTGATTCCTAAATTTACTGAAAGTTTATTAAGCCTTGACATCATTTCATCTGAAAGATTAATACAGATTTTGGGTAAAAGACTTTTAAAGCCAATATTTATTTTCCATGATATATCATTAGATCAAATCGAAGATTGTTTTAGTGATAATATTTATCCAATTTATCTCGTTTGTGCTAGTAAAATTCCAAATGGCGGAGACTGTACAAGATTTTATAATTATATTCCTGGTGCTGCAGATGATCATGAGTTATGGTGTCCCTCCTCAAAATTCTCATCTAAAATATTTTGGGATAATATTGACAAATTAAAAGACCAAAAATTATCTGAAAATGACTTGATAAAATTAATCAATTTCCTAAGTAATGGTGATGATAATAATATTGTTATGAATTATGATGTTAATATTAATGAGCTTGGTAAAAGTATTGATAACAAGATTATTGACACTAATATTTCAACCCAAATAAACAAAATTAATGAAAATATTATTGTGGGAAAAATATCATTCAACTCAGATATTGAATATGGACATTTAAATAATTACTTGAAAAATAATTTCAAGTGTTATAATTTGGTTATTATCTTAACTGAAAATATTATAAATATAAAAAATAACAATGCTGGTACAACCAAAAATGAAAACAAAAGGTTTCCATATTATTTAATTGATGAAGATAAAACTAAATTATTAATTTTACCATTGTCTTCATCAAATAAAGCACATTCAAAAAAACTAAGATATTATTTTCCTATAGTATTTGATAAATTGAAAATTATTAGTATCAAGACCAAGGAAAAGGTTTTGATCTTGGATGAAGATGGAAAAGATTTGGGTATTGCATTTGGATTGATCTGTTTAATCAAGTACTTTAGTCCTGATGATATACATAGACTTCGAGGTGAAGAAATTGAGGTCAACAAAGATTTAGTAAAAAAGTATCTTGCTCAAATAATTGGGATTGTTCATAAAGCAAATCCCAGAAGAGCGACCCTACTCAGTATTAATTATTATTTCATGTCGAAATAATCATAAGATATCTTAAAAATAAGAGATGCAAAAACCAAAAAAAAAAGCTAAAGATACACCAATATAGAATCATTTTTTGACAATGTAGTAATAAATAAGCCCAATGTTGAGCTTGAAAAAGCTGCTATTACCTGGGGAGATAACTTTAGAGTGATAACCAAAACGAGTTAAAAAATAAAATTATTTTAAAAATTGAGTGTTTCTGGTAGGTATTGGTAAATAGTTTTTAGCGATTATTCTCCTTTGATCTTTCCTTTTTTTTTAGTTTATTTGCAAACTGAAAAGCAAAATAAAGCTAATTGGTAGAAAATCTTAGTGCTAGTGTCTGTGTGATTTGGCTAACTTCTCCAATGAAAACAGAATCAAACAGCAGCAATTTTTTGGTACATTGTGATATTCTGTACTAGTTCTTTGATGCTTTTTTGGTTTCGCATTTCGAGAAAGAAAGAATGCTTTACCAATGCCTCTTTCGATGATTGGGTTGCTCTTGGATTGCTTCAGAGCTATCAGCAGCAACGATAACAAAACAGTGAAAACTATTGCAAACTGTTCCTTACATTCATTTGAGCAGTTACAAGGAGAGGTGACTATTAAGTGATACTCGAGAGCTTATCACTTCCTATCCAGATAGTGCTTAGCCTGTTTAAAGTTATCCTGGAACGTTGACTCAGAAGCGAATTGGCTCTCCATCTGCCAAAGTGTCTCTGATTTTTTGGTTATTCCACTATCTCGATCATTTTGACGAATTCCACTAGCTAATTGATGGGCAAACCATTATCGCCAGCTTCCATATAAATAGCCCCTCCCTCTGGAATATTGCTCAAAGGTTGGGGATTGCTTCTGTTGGGCTTTGTTAAATCTTGCCAATTCTTGTAATTTCTTGTAATTTCTTGTAATTTCTTGTGAGTGCTTGTTATTTCTTGTTATTTCTTGTTAGTTCTTGGACCTGCTGTCTCTGCAACAACTCCTCTCTGGTTAACTGTTCTTGATCATATCGATTCTTCTTTTCTTGCAATAAATGGAAAAACCCTCACCGTCTCATCATGATTCTGCCTCCAACATAGACGATTTTAATCATCCACCTTCAAACCTATTGTTTGATCCCAAGTCTCCTGCTGGACAACTGAAATACAGCGATATCAATGAGATCAGCTCTATCGTAGCTGAAGATGAGATTGGTGCTTCGAAAATCTCCAAGGCAAACTACGCAAGTTCAAACGTTTTAAGTTGTGTTACCAGTATTACTTATACTCCTTCTGAGATTGATAGAATTGTTGAAAAACTGATTTCCAGACATTTTTCGACTGCTAGTATCAACGTTGTTGATCCAAGAGAGAATAGAGTCACTATTCTAAAAAAATTGAAGAATAAAACTATTTCTGGGTTTTCTTTTTCATCAATTCCCCCCATTAGTTATTTTCTTGTCTTTTCTAGATTCATTAAAAAGAAAGCTGGCGAAGATAATTATTGCTGCAAAATTTTGAAATTTTTAGGATGGCCTCTTGTTTTATATCCTTTTATTATTGTTGGTATTATTGTTGGTGCTAATCATAAGACTGTTGATCCAACTCTAGTTTTTGTTTTCAATATCCTAGCCATTTTGCCATTATCAATTAATATTTCCTCTGCTACGGAGGCTTTGGCCAACTTGACCAATTCAACAATTGGAGCGTTGATTAATGTCACCTTTGGAAATTCCATAGAATTGATCTTTGCAATAATTGCTTTGACTAAAGGTGAATTATTAGTTGTGCAATGTTCAATGACTGGCTCTTACCTAGTCAATGCTCAATTGATTCTTGGTGGTGCTATTTGTGCAGGTTCAATTCATTTTAAAGAATTGAAATTTGATAACCTTATGGCCTATTTTAACATTATTTTTATTGCTTTTAATGGTTTCATTTTCAGATTGGTTTATTACTTTAATTTTAGTATGAAAGAAAATGGCAATAAAGACCCAAGCTCCATATCTGACTATTCTAATCCTTCTCTAACTATTTTGAAAATCTCTAGAGCTATCTCAGTTTTAAAAATCATTCTCTATATCATCTATTTAGTTTTGCCAATTATGTATAAAAAGTTTTTACATTCTGGTATTGAATTTCAAAATATTCGCGATAATTTTGATGATAACAATTATAAAGATGAAAAATATGAATTAACATATGAAAAAACGAATGCTAGTAACAACCCTGAAGCTGATGATTTTCAAAACAGAGCTTCTTTAGACTCTTCAATTGATAACAATCATGTTCATTTCAATCATCAACTAAATATCAATACTGAAAACAACAACGTTGCTAACTCTAATTCAAATTTTTATCATAACCAAGTTCAAAACGATAATGACGGTGGTGATCTAAAAATGAATATTACGTCTATTATAGATGTTGAAAATGAAAAAACAAGCAAATATAGAATTATTAATTTATTTACAAAACACAGGGTTTTCTTTCTTTATGCTTTATTTTTACTAGCTAACACAATTATCGTTGCGTTTAATTCAGAATATATTTTGGATTCAATGGACGCGTTTTCTGAAAGTTCAGGTCTTTCAAAGGATTTTATTTCATTAATCATTATTCCAATTATTTGCAATTCTGCCGAACATGTCTCTTCAATTGTTGTTGCCTATAAGGGTAAAATGAATCTTGCTGTTAATATTGCTGTTGGCTCTGCAGTCCAGATTGACTACTTCATTTCTCCTTTTTTGGTTTTGATTGCATCTGCAACTGTTAGTGATTATTCATTTTTATATGAAGGATTAATCATGGAATGTTATTTTGCTGCTTGTCTTCTAACATGTTTTGTTATTATGTTGGGTAAGGGTTATTTTATTGCAGGTGTTTTAAGTTTATTTGTTTATACAGTTGTTGGTATTTTAATTTACTACATGGTATTTTAGCAAAGATAATCTAGAAATTAAATAATCGTAAGCTTTTGTTTATTATACATGTAATTTATATTAGCCAAATAAATCATCTAAATCAGAAGCATCGCTATTGTTTTCATTATTCATCTCACTATCAGCTTTATCTATTGACTCCTCACTTACTTTTAATTGTTTCTTTTTATATTCCAATTCTTGTTTGAGCTTAGCAATGTAACCATTGAATCTATTCTGTAAAATTTTATTTGGAGCATTCGCTCTTTGAATTTCTTTTTGTTTGATGGTTGTTTCAAGCTCAGAGATTTCTTCTTTTAGCATTTCATTATGCTGGGCAATTTCGGCTTTATTTTCTTTTTCTTCATTATCCTCTTCACTTATATCGTCATCTTCGTCATCGTCATCTTTATTTTCTAGTAAACCTTCAAATTCATTTTCCAAACTTTCGTTATCGTCGTTATCGTCATTATCATTCATTGTTTCATCATGGTCATCATTATTATTTTCATATTTATCATTTTGATTGTCTATATCAAAACTATCAAAAACACTGTCAATGTCAATGCTCAGAGGTTGTGGAGTAGCAAAAGTTGAAATTGGAGTTGCAACAGTACTATAACCGGAATATGATGAGAATCTTTGTTGTTGAGATCTTTCATAATCATCTTTATTAAGTAATTCAAAGGTTGTCGATTCAGCATCAGCATCTTCTCTTAATAATTCTTCAACTTTTGCTTCAATTTTATCAATATTTTTGCAATTTAATCTTGGTTTAAATCTATAGTCCCTAACATTTTTCATTGGTGGAGTTATACCATCATTGAATTGATCATTGATGTTGTTATAGTCAGAAATTAAAGTTTGATAATGTTCAGAATAATCTTCAATGTTGTTTGAGGAGTCTGTTGTTATGGTAAAACTAGTAGAATTGTTACTGATTGATTGATTGGATAGAGTTGGATTGAATAATTCTAGATAATCGCGTTTGGAGACTTTTTTAAAGACATATAGCATTTGGCAAATGTCGATTGTTTTATAAAAATTTTTCTTATCAGTTGTTTTATGGGATTCGATTATGCAGGGCAAGTCAAGCAATTTTGCCATATAATAAGAATCGTTTATTATTATTATAGCTTTTCTTCTATCCTTCCATTTTATGGTGATGTTTTTAAAATCTGAGGTTTCAACGCATTGTCTAACGTAATCTAATTCAGGATCATCCATCAATCTCAATATTATGCCATCTTCAAAGGGTGGATTATCTTCTTTTTCAGGGTCTTCAGAATCGTAGCCATCACCAGGCATTCGAATACGAAATCTTGGTTGGACTTTTGGAGCAGAGGTGACTTTGATCTTGCTAATTTTGGGAGGAATTGGAGCAGAATTTGGAATTCTAATTGGGTTTTTCTTTGATGATTTAATTGTTGTTTTGTGATGAGCAGTTGGTGAAGAAATGGCTGGAGAAGCCAGTTCAGAGGCAGCAGAGCCCAACTTTAGTTTAATTTTTGGCTTTTTCTGGGCTACATCTTTGGCTTTATCTGGAGCCTTCAAAGTTATTTTGAACATAATAGAACGAATAATATTGTGAGTATAATACAGGATTAGATTAGCTAAATTTATGAGAGAAATCGAAGGAAAAAAAGGATGGAGATAAACGCAGAGAAGCACGTGGCTTTGATTTGATATTTATTTGATATTTATTTGATATTTATTTGTATTTTTTAAAGGGCAATGCTCATGAGACCTAGGAAGGAATCGATGATCTGGGCAGCTGCTAGAACCGTAATTTGGCCAGCTGAATCGTATATCGGGCTGACCTCAACTACATCAGCACCAACCAAGTTGATACCTACAAGACCATCGATGATGCTCAAGATTTCTCTTGTTGTGAACCCCCCTGGTTCTGAAGTTCCAGTGCCTGGAGCATAAGCTGGATCAAGAACATCGATGTCGAAAGTGATATAGACTGGTGTTTTGTTGTGGAAAGGGATTGTTTTTTTGATTGCATGAATGATTCCGTGGATTCCAATGTAATCTATTTCTCTTGCATTGATGATTTGAAAGCCACAGATTCTATCATTTTCCAAATCATGTTCATCATTGATGAGTGGAGCTCGTATTCCAACATGTAGAGATGAGTTTTTATTGATGTAGCCCTTTTCAGCAGCGTAATGAAGAAAAGTTCCATGGTTTATTGAAGAATATTTTGATTTTCCACCTCCGAGATATTTTGGGTCCCAAGTATCTAAATGGCTATCGAAATGGATGAGAGATAGTTTTCCAAAGGTCTCGTAGGCAGATTTTAGAGTCATCAAGGTTACTGTATGATCACCACCTAGAGTGATGATTCTTGGATGAGAGGATAGAGTTTTGTTGAAAGAATTGTATTTATGAACAATTCTTTGACCTCTGTACAATTGGTTTAAAGCAATTCTATTATCAAAGGGAGTCATGGGGACGTCACCACAGTCGACTATTTTTAAGGCTTTATAGGGGTTTATATGATTGAAATCGTTATTGTCATTGTTATTGTTATGATGGTTGTGATTATAATTTCTAACTGGAATTTTGCCGTCAAAACTAATTCTTTTACTGCCATCTCTGATGCCATTTGGACCAAATCTTGCACCAGGTCTGAAGGAAACTCCAGTATCAAAAGGAGCACCGACTATGGCAACATCAAACTGAATTTGTTCCTTGGGATCATTGTTATGTAAATTAGATGCATTAAAACAGTTGTAGTAAGGCTGGTTTCCCCAAGTTACAATGCCACTGTATAGAGGGCCTGGAGAGGCCAAGTCTGAGGTATCATCGTCACTGGGATAGTTGATCTTGTTTAGTCTGACAAACTTGTTGATATCGTTAGGGTCGTTGTCCACAATTGAACTTTGGTGGATTGAGATTTGATGATTTGAAATGGAGTTGAAAACATAGCTGGTTTCATCAGGTCCATTGAGCAAACCGCCATAGAGCGAATCCAAGTACGATTCAGGAATGGAGGCAGGAACAGCTAGCAGAATAGAGCTTTGAGCGAGCCCAGCAGGAATTGTGGAAGCAGCTGCCCCATAAAGAAGGCCAATCCAGAGACCCACAATCATTGCTGTTGTTGCACTAGCTGCATTGGCTGGGAGAAGAGAAACCGGCTCTTTTATAAGCAGCTCTAGTACTGTCTCCTTATCAGCAGATGCACCAGGCCCTATCTCGCACACGTCTAGTTCCTAATCGCACTGTTTCTGCTGCTTCTGCTGCTTCTGCTGTCTCTGCTGCTTCTGCTTCCGGTGCTTCTGGTGCTCTTCCCAATGCGTCACTAGCCGCCGCCAAATCGGGCAACCGCCGGCTCTCTCGCCGCCAGCGCAACGCTCCCCACAGTATAGTGTGCATTACCCGCCCAGCACAGCACCACCGCAGCGGTTGTTTTTGGGTGTGTTTTCTCTGTCCGGGTAACGCGCCTGCGCATCTGAACAGAGATCACTTCCATCTTCAAACGATCATCGATTTCTCAATTAATCAATCAATTGTCGACATTTTTCAATTTCGCTTCTTTTTTTTCTCATATAAATTCAACTTTCCCAGTTGGAATTGTTTTATCTGGCTCTTTTATTCCTCTTTTTCTCTGTTTTCTTTTTTTCTCTTGCTCATAGATGCTAAAAACAGGAATCAACACTCTCAAAAATATGGCTCCAAAATTAAATTTACCTGAACTCCTTTGTAAAGGTGCTTACATTAATGGCCAGTGGATCACCGATGCAAAATCAAAATTCCAGGTCCAAGATCCCGCCACCTTAGAGGTAATTGGGGAATTGCCTGACCAAGGTCCTGATGACATAGATATTGCTATTGAGTCCGCTTCAGCTGCCTTCACAACCTTCAAAAAGACTACTCCAAGAGAGAGATCCAAATACCTCAGAGATATTTACAATCTAATGATTGAAAACGTCGATGATCTAGCCAAAATCATCACCTGGGAAAACGGTAAGCACATCAATGAAGCGATTGGTGAAATTAAATATGCTGCCTCTTATTTCGAATGGTATGCAGAAGAAGCCCCAAGAATCTATGGTACAACTATCCAACCAACCAATCCAACCAACAGAGTCTTTACAATGCGTCAACCTGTTGGTGTTTGTGGTATCATAACACCATGGAATTTCCCTTCTGCAATGATAACAAGAAAGGCTGCTGCTGCAATTGCTGCCGGCTGTCCAGTTATTATCAAGCCTGATCACCAAACTCCTTATTCTGCCCTAGCTCTTGCTTACTTCTTTGACAAGCTAAACTTGCCAAAGGGCATCTTCAACATAGTTTTATCCAAATCCCATGTACCCGAAATCGGCTTGAAAATGTGTGAATCAACAAAAATTAAAAAAATATCTTTCACAGGTTCAACTAATATAGGTAAAATCCTAATGAAACAATCCGCTTCAACTTTGAAAAAACTATCCTTTGAATTAGGTGGTAATGCTCCAATCGTTGTATTCGATGATGCTGATATCAATTTAGCCATCTCTCAATCAATTGCTTCAAAATTCAGAGGCTTGGGCCAAACATGTGTTTGCGCCAATAGATTATATATCCAACAAGGCATATATGATAAATTTGTTGAAAAATTCTCAAAAGAGGTTTCCAAATTCAAAGTTGGAAACGGTTTTGATACATCTTGCACTCATGGCTGCTTAATAAACCAGTTGGCTATCGATAAGGTCAAAGATCACATTAAAGATGCTCTATCAAAGGGCGCTGTTGTTAAAATCAAAGGTGGTAGAGACGATTCTCTAGGCCCAAATTTCTATAACCCAACTGTTCTTTCCAACTGCACTCAAGACATGAAAGTTGCTAAAGAAGAAACCTTTGGTCCATTAGCTGCCATCTTCAAGTTTTCTGACATCGAAGATGTCATCCACTGGTCAAATGATGTGGAGCATGGTCTAGCATCTTACGTCTTCAGTAAAGACATCAACAACATCTACATCATGGCTGAAAACTTGGAATATGGTATGATTAGCTGCAACACTGGTATATTCACTGATTCCTCCATCCCATTTGGCGGTGTCAAGGAATCTGGTTTCGGTAGAGAAGGTTCCTTGCATGGTATTGATGATTATACAATTCTTAAGGCTGTCACAATCGGTAACATTCCCCAAATCTAACCAACTACCTCCGATAAGTAACATTTTTCTTTCATCTGTCTTTCTCTTTCTTTTTTAGGTCTCTTTGATTTTCCCACTCTAATATTCAATATTCTTGTTCCATTTGCCCCTCTCCCATTCTATCTTCTCTCCTACTTCTCTTCTATTGCATTAGCAGCTCACTGAATTTAAATCTCATTGCGCCTTATTAAACCAAATTCTAAATTCAAAATGCTCATCGAAAAGAAACCGTTTTCGCTCATCAAAGCACGTGGTTTGGTTTTTAATTTTTTTTGTCTTTTTTTCCATCAATATGACATTTCGATAACAGCAATCAATTCTTGTAATTCAATAACAAAGCGAGATATAGTCACAAAAAACATATCAAAAAATTACACAAAATGTCTCAGGAAATAGAAATCTATGAAGAGAATTATTCTTCTGACGATGCCAACATTTTTCAAGATATCACCCCAAGAAAATCCAAAGTCACTCTTGGTTTGATTGACATTCCTTTCTCTCAAACTGATGATAGACCAACCATTGAGGATTCTTTTGTTGGTGGCCACCCAGTATGTTGTTTTATTACTTTTTTCTCCAGAATCTTATTTGTTTCACGATTGACTAATTTCTCTTTCTTTTTGCTATTTTTTTTCTATCCGAATAGATTTGGTTAAATGATTCTCCCCCAAGTGACAACTTATTGCTTTGCAAAAATTGTTCAAACCCAATGAATCTATTATTACAGGCTTTTGCTCCTTTGGAAAACACAAGTTATGATAGAGTGATTTACGTATTTATATGCTTAAAATCTTCTTGCAAAAGAAAGGTCAATTCTGTTAAGGCAATTAGAGGAATTTGCAAAGATCCAGTCAAAATGAAAAAAATTGATGATGAACTCTCATTGGATAAAAAATCAGATGATTTAAGTGCACAATTATTCAATACAAACATTAATACTAACAATACCTCCAATCCCTTTGCTTCATCAAACCCATTTTCTACCTCAAATCCCTTTGTCTCTTCCACTGCAAATCCTTTTGATCCACAAGTAAAAGAAAACCTTGGTGCAAATACTAATCACAAAATCACGATTTCAAATTCATCAGATAAAATTAACAAGAATTCCTGGTCCAACGTGGTATCAAAAACAACAGAACTAATCAAGCCCAAAAAAATAGTCAAATCCAATATCATTTTGCCCTCATTTCCTGGATATTTTATTTATATTCAACGTGAAATATTCAAGAAAACGAAAAACGATCAATTATTAAAAAACATTCATTATGATGAGAGTTTGTTAGATAATGAGATTAACTCAATTAAAAATTCTGTCAGCAGAATGAATTTAAATCATAAAAATAATAATAAATATAAAAAAAACAACAAAAACAATAATCAGATTGAAAATTTAAAATCTGAATCAGTTTCCAAAGCCTTGAATGATAAAAGCTTTCAATTCTTTTTAGAAATAACAGAACACAATCCAAATCAAATTTTAAGGTATGATTTAAATGGGAGTCCTCTCTTATTCACCTCAAATGACGCTGTTTATAAGACTATTTCAGATGATTTAATTCCAAGACCCAGTTTTAATTTATCTTCAAAAAGGAGATTTGAATTACAATTAATGCCAAAATTGATTATTGATCTTGAGGCAAACTTAAATAGCGATCAAGTTATTATGAATGGTATGGAGTGGGGCTCAATTTTTGTTTACAGTGACATTGAGGACTATATTAATGACCATGATTTGGATGAGAACCATACAGGTTATATAGAAGAATGGTGTGGTGTGCAATGGGATGACGAATTGCACCTATAAAATATTTTTAATTATTTTTTTTTTTTTTCATAAAATCGTTTATTTTTACAATACTGATGGAGAAAAATTGTTTTTTTTTTATTTCTATTTTTTATTCTTCATCATTTGCATTTAAAACCTTTTGCATTTTTTATTTCAAATAATTTTATTATTTTTTATTTATTATTTTTTATTTATTATTTATTATTTTTTATTTATTATTTAAATTTTTATTTAAATTATTTGCTGAGACACTAAAAACGACAACGGTCAAATTATTAAGTTATAGTTTGGTTAATATTTTTATTTTTGATCCAAATTTCTGCATTACCATTAAGCTCTAAATTTGGACTGTTTATAAAAATTAGCTTGAACATACAAAGTCTAGTTATGAGTAGTATAATAAATTATTTTATTACAATTCAGAAATAGGAGAGGGGAGAAAATAAAAAAAAAGTATATATTATACTGTATTTAATTATATTGAATATAGTTAAGTATAATCAAAGAAAAGAATTCTGATAAAAATAGTAAACAAAATTAAAAATAAATTAAAATTATAACTTAAAAAAAGTGACTAAAATAACACAATAGAGAATAAAATGTAATAAAATACTTATCATAAAATATACTAAAAAATACCAAAAGAAAAATAAGAAAATAAGAAAAAAAAATTAAAACTTCACAAATTTACCGCAAATTTCTAAAAATTCAAAACATTTAAAGGATTTAAGAAATGGAATTCAAGAAAACAGATTGAAGAGGTGATCCATTATATTGATTAATATAATAAAATAATAAAATAGAAAGTTGGAAAATAATGTATTTTATAAAAACATCTGAGTCAATTAGTTCATTAGCCAATGAATAATTTTTGAGTGACAGGTTTGTTTAGGAGGTTTGGGTAAATCATAAGACTTATTTTCAATTGATGTTCTATGAACCGAATTTTTAGAATTTGGTGCAATTTTATTTTTATTATTAGCACTGCTTTTTGATTTTACAATTTTTAGAGGAAATCCTTTCCGAATGTAATTAATATCTTTTAATTTGATAATAATTTTATAAATACCAGTGCTGACGAAATATAGCCAATGATCAGATAAGATGTAACAGTTTTTCTGAGGTAAGTAAATATTAATATTTTTATTAAATAAAAGATAAGAAATATGAGGGTAAGAACACTCTTTCAAATAATATAAGAATGTGTTCCAGGTTATGATCTTATTGTGTTTATCATATAGTGAAATTTCAGAAGTGGGCAAATAAGGAAAATTTTGAATTTTAACAAAAAGAATTTTATTTTTATTGTTATTCTCAGCTATTTGTTTTCTTGTTAGATCAGATACAGATGAATTAGCAAGAGTTCTCGTAGATGAAGATAAGGTTGTAGGTATATTTGGAATTGAATCAAAACCAGAATCTTTATTGGGGTTTGGCCTAAAAAAACCAGCAGAACTTTGATTTTTATCAATAACATTACTGTTTTGAATATTTGTCCATGGGGCTGGATAGAATGGATAATAATTTTCGGACATGATTAGTAAACTGTTATATCTTAAAAATATTTAATTGAAAAAATATGGTTCTATATCTCAGCAAAACTGATTGAGAAAAGAGGAAAATTGAAGCGTATTTATATTAAAAGATAGTGATCTTACACAATGGAAATAAAAATCTTTTTGAGACCATCAACAATAAATTAGCATTTGCAAAAGCTTTTAAATGTGACACAATATTAATAGATTTGAAGCATAATAAGGACGTGAGTTAGTGAGACCATAAGAAGACAACGAGAAGCGAGATGCATGACAGCAACTTGTCTTGGGGCATGGTTGTGTTGCATTAATAGCCAAAAAATAGTACTCATCAGTCAGATATCTAGGCAGCAGATCGATGTTTGCTCGATTATATTATAATCACACTACTGCTTTGGGATACATCACTGGTTCGCTGCAACTATCACATTCGCATCTGATTGTCCTCTTTAAATATTCTCGGCGATCTAAGAGCATGCAGGTCGATAAGAACTGTGCAGTAGTTAGAAGCAGACTGCGTCCATGTCAAACGGGGCACAGCTGGTGAACGTATCCGATGGTCCATATAACGTAATCCATTGATTCTCCGCGTCTATCCGTGTAATCCGCTTTATCCGCCCACCATGTGCTCTCCATTCTGTGTCTTATTTCTTTTTGCTGAGCTTGAGCATACCGTACGATATAACAGATAATAAGTATTTAATATCATTTTTTTTTGATTTTCTTTTGATTTTCTTTTGATTTTCTTTTGATTTTCTTTTGATTTTCTTTTGATTTTCTTTTGATTTTCTTTTGATTTTGTTTGTTCTTATCGAACAAACAAAAAACACTGACTGAAAAGCGTCAGATAAGCAAGAATGACGTACCACACAGATGGAATGAAACTGACACAGATTTCTGCATCAAATATTACCCACACTTAGGTTGTGCTTAAAGCCAATATCTCTGCTCTATAATGGATTACAAAATTGACAGAGAAAACCTCCCCAAAGTAGTCCAATTTTTCTATCTGATAAAATGAAAAGGGGACACTAACTGTAGGAATAACCTTGTATACACAAGAACTATTCAAAAGTAAATAGATTATATAACCACCTGACCGCATATTTCCGATTGTACGTTGAAATAAAAGGGGCAGATAAAAGGAAAAAAAAAATAATGGATTACAATTAATCATCATCTCACATTGCCACCAAAAAGTTTTTAAATGTCGTATAATGGTATAGGTTTATCCACAGCTAGAGGGTCTGCAACAAATGGTTATATCCAGCGAAACATTTCCAACAGGTCTCAGACAGACCCACACCAAAAGAACTATTATGAAAGACGAAAATACTTGAAAGAGAAAAATGAATTGGAAAAAAAAAAGGCGCTAAAGACTTTGAATTTTAAAGGTGATAAAGAGATTTTATTACACGAAAAAAAGAGATTGATCCAAATTAAATGCATGGAGTTACAAGAACAACTAGAAGACGAACAAGAAAATGGCGATGAAGCTTTAACTGATGAAATTATTTCACAAAAAGTAAATGACTTAAAATCTAAATTATTTGAAATGTTTAATAAAAATGAGGATAGTATATTAGAGAATCATTTAAATGAATCTTACAAAAATAAAAATAATAGACATAAAATTCCCAAAACAACAAATAAAAATCTTTACTTGGCTTCAAAAAAATTTAATTCTCATCAATTGGCTGCTGAAAAAGTAAAAGAAAACCAAAGATTTAAAGATTCAATGCAAACTGACTTTGTTCAAAAAAATTACGATAATGAGTATCAAAATCACAATCAACAACAGGTACATAATCATAATACCTATAATACTAAAACCGAAAATATACCAGTTCAACAGAAAGATGCGAACACTTTTTTGCCCAAAAAACCTGATCTTTCTAACCAAATAGACAACTCTTATAAACTCACTCTCAATAATCAAAAAAAGGCTCATGATCTTAAAGAAATCCAAAAAGAATCACTTAAATTTTTAGATTCAATCAAAGAAGACTTTTATGGTTAAAAAGTTAGAAAAAAAAATTTCTTTGATCCACAACTCTGGTTTCAACTATATTTTCTACTAACAAAACATTTTTTCTCTAATCACAAGCCTGTGTTTTACAACTTCAAAAGGTTTTCTTTTTTTTGTGATTTAGACTTGTACTGAATTTTCTTGTATATTACTAATATTTTGATCATGAATTGATTTTTTATATTAGATCTAGCTTTAGCCCTGCTTTTGGTCAGGTTTTAGTTTCTTCTGCTTCAGCTATTCTTTTGAAATTTAATTATTTCTTTTTTCTTTCTTTTTTTGTTTTTCACATTTAAATCAATTGATATCTTATATTCAACTTAGATATACAAAAAAACAAAAAAAAACAACAGCAAAAGTAGTTATAACAGTAAAAATAATAATAATAATGTTTAGTATTTTGTCGAAGATTAAAAATATATTAAGAAAGCATGACAGAGAAGAAAAACCAACACATAATGATAAAAACTCATCAAAGCCTATATATACCCTTGGCTATCATACATTTGAAACACCTACTGACAAAAATGAAGAACCGTTTAATAACCTCAATATTTGTTCTGTAATAGATCTGCATGAATCATCTTTATTTATTGATTCTGAAATACATCCTAACTATAAGCATTCTTTTTTGAAAATCATTAGTCCAACTAGTCAATCACAAAACCACTCTATTCAATATAATGATTCTAAAAGTGTGTTTTCTTTTCCATTCAATTATCCAAATCACAATTCAATCTCTAGTACTGATCAAAACAAAAACAAAAATCAAAACCAAAATTCAAGTTTTGATTTACACAAAACTCACCATTTTTCAAATAATCAAAGTGACAGTTTGAAAGAAACTTTATCTGTATATTCAAATACAAATTCTTATTTAACTACAAATTCTTATTTAAACACAAATTCTCACTCAAATACAGGCTCACTTTCCAACTCTTTTGTTGATTATGAACAAAATTTAGTTTCAACATCCGATTTAGATTCGAATTTAAATAGCAATGATCCTGAATTTACTGATTTTTCCGCTTTTGCCTTTGAAAATTTTGTTCCTATCACTAATCCTACTCAACAAACAGTTACAGATCTATCCTCACAATATAAAATTCTTATTTCTTACTTTAATCATCCTATAATTAAAACTTGGAGAGATACTGCTTCTATACAAAAACTTAAAAAAAGAAGAAATAGAATAAAGGTTTTGTTAACAGACCAGTTTTCTAATTTGGTTTTTGATGTTATCAATGAAGTTCTCAACAAATTGAATTCCCCTGATTTTATGCAACATAGAGATGATGACACTTTCAAATCTAATGAAATCACTAATAATGTCATTGTCAATTCATTGTTTGCAACTGAAAACAATGAAAACAAAATTTATATTAAAAGTCAAATTAATAAGGATAAAGGTGATGAAAATATTGAAGAATTTAAAGGCAAAAGGCGAGAGGAAAATCCAAAAGAAAATGCTGAAAGAGAACTTGCTAGATCAAAACTTTCTGTTCTATCTCGTAAAAGATTTAACGAATTAGCTTTTGATATTTTGGTTGATATTAAACAAAGAGGTTTATGTCATTTATCCGATGAATCAATTCCCAATGTGCAAACTATTAAACAGTCTGAAAAACAAAGAATCAATCGTGTTCTTGATGATGATAATTACGGCAAAAATAACAAATACAGAGATCTCTATGAAGTCAATCCTAATCCAATTCGTGATTGTGATGGAACAAATAACGAAGTTTGTAATAATGATGGTGACCAAACTACATGCTAAATAAGTTGCTCCCAATCAAACCATTTGGGTTTGTGAAAGTTGTCTAGTTGAAATATTTTAGATTCAATTGCATCGAGATTAACAAACTCGTCCAATAACTTTGAGAAATAGGCTAGATTGATTTTATTATTCTGGTCATCTAATTCAATCAGAAAGTTTTCTTTGAATAAATTTGGCAATTCACCAATCAATGATTTAAAATTAAATGAAAGCGACTTATTATCATGAAGTGAGGTTTGACAATAATTCGCCAATATGCAATATTCAAACATTAATATATTTTTTTGTCATTCTCCTTAGTGGTTATCAATTTCACACCAGTTTTTGGATTCATAAATTTGTGTTCATACTCATTATATTTATGATTATAATTATCTCATTTTTTAACATAGTTGTCAAATCCTTAAAAATGGTTTCATTTGAGAATAATAGAATCAAGTTGACCAAATCATGTCGCGAAATATAATTTGTTTTTTTAGAAATCAGAAAGAACTTTTTGTAGGATTGTTTCATATCCCAAAGTATTGCCAACTTTGACAAAATATTTTGAATGGTTGTTTCTTGAAACAGTAACATCTGGCTGAATATAATAATTTGATAAGTATTTGTTTTCAATGATTAGTTTGACTTTATTGATGGTCTCATATACATTTTTTTCCACTCATGTTGCTTCAATCTTTTTTTTGTTGTTAACTTAATTTCATCCCTGAGATAATTTTTTGTTTCATGTTATCTGTTTTCATGTCTTATATAGCCTTTTAATATTGTATTCAATTTCAATGAGTCAGCCAAAATGTAAAGTACCTTTTTCATTCATTTTATGTAACATTTCTTCATTTAATGAATCATATTGTCTGGATCAACACCATTGAGAACTATTTTATAATATGCATTTTGATGGTGATTTCTAATGCACGTACAATTTTTGTTCTTGGATAGGTTTTTTACAAATGCTGAGGTACAATTTATAAAATGGCATCTTCACCACCAAAGCAATCAACTCTTAGAATTAGAAATTAACTACAATTCTAAATGGTTTTCATAAAGTTCAAATATAACTACTCAGTTTACTATTTCATCTGCAATTAGTTTTGATAATTTTTAAGATTGCTTGATATTGCATTCTGAGAAACTGGCACAATTAACAATTTTTTTCTTGAGCCTTGTAATCATTAAAGAAAGTTGGTAAAGTCATTAAAGGAAGGCTGTTTTTAAATCAAGCCATTTATTACTTTATCAGCAATCTCTCATCCAAACTAGAAAAATATAAAAAAAAATGAAATATCTAATAAAATTAATTTCACTCGTCAAATATCGTCTGATTAATTATTTGAAAGTATAAAGAAAAACAAATTTAGGATAAAAAGTTACATCGCAAGTGCAAACTACAATATGAGAATATAGAACAATATAAAGGTATTATTTTGTTTACGTTTTTATTATATCTACTCTGGTTCTTTTCCAAACATTGTGTATATACAATTCATCATCATCGCCATCATCTTCAATCTTTGTAACCCCACCGGAATCTGGGTCTGGAGGATCAATTGACAAAACTGCATAGTTTCCAGTGTGATTGTTTTTCATTAATGAGCCTGGATTAACAAAGATTACATTTTTTACAACTCTTGCAAATGAATTTAGTTCAGATGGTATTATTATTATATCTGGTATTACTTCTGAAAACTCTGATAGTCCCATATATGGCAAATCTAAATCTGAGCCAGAGATATGTTCTGAATTTTCAGCAGCAGGCAAACTTTTAATATCATTTTCTCTTTCAATTGGCTGATTTTTGATCGTTTTCTTTGTTTTTAACCCCCCTGGAAACAATGGATAGTATTTGCGTTGTTCTAAAAGATGGTTTGAAATTCTATCAAATCGATTTTCTTTTGATAAATCACCTTTACAAACATCTTTAAAGTCCTTATAAACGTCGTTGTTTGAAACACCAACATTGATTTCGTTTATTTGAAATGATGAAGGGTTTGGAAAGCATTTGAAATTTTTTGGCAAGTTCAAGAATTTTCTGTCAAAGTTGGTTTGCGGATAAGATGGATGATTAGATGTTGCGTCTTTCAATGAAGGAATTAAAACTACCTGAATTTTATTATTAATTTCTTTTAATATTGGAGTGATTATAAACTTGAAAACTTCATCTAGGGTTCTTGGTTTTTGTTTAAAAGCGATTTTTGGATTATTAGAATTATCATTGGAAATTGAGCCGTCATAAATTTTTGAATGTGTTATATCAATAAATGGACCAAATAGTATAACCAAATGAGGTTTTATTTGATTATTAATTCTATCAACTATGTTTCTCAAATTCTCAAAACTTAAATTATTATTTGTTGTATAAGGGCCGGAGATGACCACTATCTTTAGTTTATTACTTTTTAAATTAATTGTATACTCATCTAATTCATCTTTGGAGGAAACTGGAGCACCTAGTAATGGTAATTCAACAACTTCGTTAACGATAAATGATTGACCACTGATATTTTTTCCTTTAAAGGCTACAATTTGACCAGGAAAGAAAGAATAGCTGTTTAAATTTGATAAATTCAATGAAATTCTGTTACCAATACCAGAAATTCTTGAGGTTTCTAAGCTTAAAGAGTTTGAATTTAAAATTGTGTCAAAATCTGATATTGGGGAATCAGAAACTATTCTGCCAACGGTTATAATTTCATCTTGAGAAGAAATTGTTGGATTTCCAAACTGATCTTTGGAGAAATTGTAATGATTTAATATCAATCGAGTGAAAATATCAATTTGTTCATCCAAGTAATCTGCTGATTCCAACAATTTAATTCTCATTGACCTAAAGTTATATTTTTTTTGATTAAAGTTTGCTGTTATTTTAATTGGATTTAAGTCTACTTCTGGATTGAAAGATTTGTGATCAAATCCACTTGAAGGAAGTATGTGAGAATTTAAAGATTGGATTATTTTACCAGAGGTATAGGCAGAAGTTGAAGTGGAGTCAATTGATTGCTCAAGTTTTTGAGATGAATTAAAAAACTGATTTGATGTTTGTGATTTCTTTTTAATTGGAGAGGAACTGAAAACGCCATTATCATTATCATTATCATCATCGTTGTCACCATCCACATCAATGTTGATATTTCTTGGACAAGAAGGAGTTAAAGCGGGTAGAGGTATTGAATTCAAGTTTTTTCTTTTGACTGGCATACTAATTGGAGAAGATTGATTTGATCTTTTCTTTGATAAGTTTGGGAGATTTAAGTTTGGAGATAAGGGCAAATAATTTGGAAACATAGGTTTTGTATTTGGAGAAGAGGTTACATTTTTATTTCTGTTTCGGTTCAAGTTTATGTTCAAATTTGATCTGATCATTGATTTCTTGACAGAATTATTTAGCAATTTTTTTTTATTTTCTGAATTTTTTTCTATCTTTTTTATAATATAGTCTTGCAATTTCCCCAAGTTGACTGAATTAAGTGGAATATTAGCAGTAGATTTATGAAATTCGCTGTTTAGAGAATTGCCTCTATGGTCAGAAGCATCAAGAAGCTCATCGCCTTTTGTAACGCAAAACGATTCCCAATTAATAAATAACTGTTCAACATCAAAATTGAATAGTTGAATAATACTTTGACATAGCTTTACTATATCATCATTATCGGCCAGCTTACCAAACTTTTTGATGATCTGTTCTCTTGAAGAAGTTTCAGTTGACATGGTAAAAAAATAATTTGTTATTCCTGTTGCTGAACCAGAAGAGTGTGCAGAGTTGAAACTTCTTGTGGTATTCCAGCCCAAGCTGATCCAACAAAACCAATATGTTCACATCAGCAGCACTTTCAGCTGCCAAAACGCGTCAAGCAGATTCACAACGCGTTTAAGTTGAAATATTTTTTTGAAAATAAACACAAGTCTTCTTTATCTAGACAAGGCGCGTAAGTGGTTTAATGGTAAAATTCAACGTTGCCATCGTTGGGCTCCCGGTTCGATTCCGGGCTTACGCAATAAAATGTTTTGTTTATGTTTTTATCTTACTTTAAGATAAATGCTTTGAAACTTCAAAGATGAAAAACTTTTAACGAGAATCATAATTTTCATAATTTTTATTGGTATTCAAGCATTTTTTTTCTAGCAAAATTATTTATGGTGAATAAAATAATATTTAATAACAAAAATAGAAAAAAAATAAAAAATAAAAAAATAAAAAAAAAGGTAGGTGGGTATAGTGTCAAATTGTATAACAAAGTGCTCTCATAAACAACAATCGAGAAACACAGAATTTGAACCAAACTCAGCTGAACTGTAAATTCTTCAATTAAGTTGATTTTAAGCATAGAATGAATAAATTTATCAGTAAATAAAATTATATTAAAAACAATAAAGAAAGCCAAAAATCGGCAAGATAAAATAAAAGTCAAAAGTCGAAAGTCAGAAGTCGAAAATTGAAAATTGAATATTTTATGAATTTCATAGTTATTCAGAAATAAATGGTGCATTTTGAGCTTATACCCAATGAAATTTATGTTTTTTTGCTTTTTCTAAATCATTACTAGCATAGTAGTATGAAAAATAAAAAAAAGAAAAAAGAAAAGAAAATTAAAAAAGATAACAAATAATATAACATCTTTCAACAGAAAAGAATCAAATGATTTGTTTTTGTAATCACTCACAATTGAAAATGAAATTTTCAAAATTATAAACAAAAATTATTAATTTTAGAAGAATATTAATAAAACTTTAACATGATCTTTTGGAAAAAAAAAGATTTGTTTTATTCAGATGAATTGTGTGAATTTGTAGAAGTGAAAATCCAATTTTTCCAATCTAGGGATCTAACCTCTGAATCATTAATCAATTCGAGCTCACCAATGCAACTGATAGCGTATTTGAGTAATTCGATTGTTTCTTCTAGAATTTCCTCTTTACTTTTACTAGCGTTAGTTAATGAATCATTAATAACAATGGTTTTAATTCTATTAAAACCAGCAATTTTAGATAGTTTAACCCCTCCAGTTTCAGCATTCATTAATTTTCTCAAGTATGTGTCTTTTATTAGATTTTCAAACGAAAAGTAGTAAGACAATTGTGTAATCATCAATGATAATCTTTCATCATAGACCTGAGGAAGATAAACAGGAGAAAATACTAGTGGTTGCAAATGAGCTAATTGTGAAACTTGATTTAGTTGGTTTAATGGGTTATATTGATTAAATTGGGGTAAATTATTGATATTGGATCTAGAATCATAAGGAGATATGTTATCTGGACTAATAAGGGTGTAATCATTTGAGTCATAATCTAAAGGGGATTTTGAAGAAGAGGTTCTTTTTTTAGTGTCAGAAATGTTATAATCATTTTTAAAAGATTTAGAGCTGTTGCTGTTGTCACTAAAACTTCTAACCGGAATATTGTTATTTCCAGCAGGATTCAAAGCGGTTGTATATATTGGGGAAAATTGGATAGGATTGATGACATTTGGAGATAGTATAGTGTTTGGATAAAATGGATTTGGAGCAATATAAGATTGAGCAGGGGAGATAGCTGAAATTTGATAAGGGCTATAAAAGGGATTGATTGTATAAGAATTTCTATTATTGTAACGATTATTATTTTTGTTACTAGTGCTTTCATTATTGTTATTGTCATTGTTGTTATTGTTATTAGCGCTATTATTATTGTTAGTAGAAGTAGTAGTATTGCTATCGTTGTTAGAAGCGCTATTATTATTATTATTATTATTATTATTATTATTATTATTATTATTATTGTTGTTGTTGTTGTTGTTGTTGTTGTATTTATTTGTGTAATTTTGGCGGTCAAAGGAACGACGTTGATGATGAGTTTTATTATATTTGTTAAATTGGTGATTATTGTATTTTGAGTTTGTATTATCGTTATTGTAGGAGCGTTTGTAATTTGAATTTGTATTTGAAATATTTTTGGGCTTATAATTGTTAGGAGATTTATCAACGGATTTTTGGATATGATTTGTGTTGGTGTCTTTATCGATTTTATGAGAGACATCTTGAGTGGGAAGAGTGTTTGAAGGTTCGGAATCGGAATCGGACAAGATTGAGAGATTTTCGTTTGATTTTTTATTGAAATTGGTATCAATGGAGAGGTTTTCAAAAGCATCGTTGAAATTTGATTTTTTTATTTGAATTTGATTTTTATTTGCGGAAGTAGAAGTGGAAGTGGAAGTGGGAGATATTTTTTTGTTAAAGAGAGGGATGGGAGGTAAATTTGGAGAGGAATTTGGTTTTTTGAATTGAGATTTATCTTTTTTATTGTTGGTATGATTGAAGTCATTATTTGGATTAATTGAATCTTTTTTTAGATTGGATAAATCTTTTTTTAAAACATTTGAATAATTTGAATCATTATTTGAGATATTTGAGATATTTGATTCATTTGAGATGAGGTTAAGATTGGATTGAGATTGTTTTTTTTTGTTTTGTTTTTGTTTTTGTTTTGATTTTTTGTCTTTATTTGTGGGAAACAATTCGATTTCAGCATCAGGGTAAGGAATCCATTTTTGATTTTTTGAGTATTTAAGTTTTTGTTTTGATATTGTAGAGTTGTTATTAGTATTATCATTATTATTAGTGTTATTAGTGTTATTAGTGTTATTGGTGCTATTAGTGTTATTGATATTGTTGATATTGTTGATATTATTAGTATTGGTGTTATTATTTGAGATAAATGTATTTTGATGTTGTATCTGTTCTGAAGTATTGGAGATTTGTTTGTGATTTGAAATATCGGGAATAGTGATGTTGTTGTTATTAGAGATATCGATATTGGGAGCCGAGATATTTTGATTTGGTATTGATTGAGATAGTTTTCTTTTTGTCCATGGGTTTTCCTTTGGAGGAGGAGCAGGTAAAAGGATTGAATGAGAAGAATGGGAGATAGAGGAAGAAGAGTTGGAGATAATAGAATTAGTTATGAGCTCATCAGTATTTGGAGTGATGGCAGAGGTTGAGTTGGTGGAAGGATTTGTATTAGCTGAATTAGATAAATTAGTAGAAGACATTTTAAAATAAAGTAATGAAATAATGAAATAATGATATAATGATATAATGATATAATGAAACAATGAAATTGATAAAAGCACAATAGATGCTGGACCTAGAGTGGATTAAAGATAGAAGTTAAAGTGAGAAATATTATAAATAAATAACAGACCAAAATTGAGATGAACAAAAGTTAAGCGCCGATATAAAAATAGTAAGTATAAATAAAAAAAACAGAAAACCAAAAATAATTGGGAGAAACAGAATAGGATGAATAAATAAAAACTGAGAGTAAGCCAAAATAAATGGAGAGTGTTTCCTTTGATGTGAAGATGAAGAGAATCAGATTTGAAGAAAGGAGAAATAGTTATTTGGTGGTGATTTGAAGATGATTTGGTGATTTGAGATGAATTTAAGATGAATTTCAAATGAAGTTACGCAGTTAAGATCAAGTTGAGCTGGAGGCGAATTGTGAGAAATTGAGACGGATGTAGGACAGTGGAGACTTTGGAAATGCGGTCGGTTCTAGCGGTCGAAGCAGCTTCACAGTTTGTGGAAGCACGAAGAGGAGCACGAAGAGAAGCAGAGGCAGCACAGGAAACACAAACAGCGGGTTTGAAAACAACGGCTCTGAAAGCACGTTCTTTGGTCTCAGCTCTTCTCCGAATCCAGCCGGCCGCTTCTGACCACCAGTGTGGGTGCCGTGTGACAGTGCGTAGAGCGCGTTGGGATGCGTGTTCGCAGTCAGGTGATCCCGCTGCTGCGTGTGGTGCCTGTGGTGCCTGTGCGGAACACGTGAGCCTCCGTTTGTTCTGCGTCCGGTCCGTTGATCTGCTGCAGATCTGGCTATCACTTATCGGCAGCTGTTATCCCAGCTAATCACACACCTGCTGCATTTCGAATTCAAAAGAAGACGTTATCTCGTCTTGCTGTCCAATCACAGCGCGCGCTCGCATTGCTTTCCTGCTGCAAGATAGTCTTTCTTTTCATAACTCTATCTTTTCACTAGCTGCCATATATTTCCACCTTATTTCTCCTGTTCTTGGATTCAATCACTCAATCCTCCAGGCTTTTTTGTTTCACCCAAATTCTATATATACCAATTGTCCTTCGTTGTTTTTCTCCCACTTTGAAAGTCAAACTTACCATTCTCCCAATCTTCTCCCACCTAATCTTTTCAAACAAAGCTTAATAATCAAAAATCAAAAATCAGAAAACGACAAGATCAAAACTTAAAAATCGCTTTTCCATCTCTTATTATTTAATTCACTTGCTACCTTGTTATTCAATTAAATCGCCATCCCATATTTATCATCAAATAGTCTGCTACTAAACAGTTGATAATTAACAACAAATTGACAAATACTAATCGATAATTGCTAAAAAATACTAATCTTTCCCGATATTCAATTTCATGACTAAAATAAAAGATTCCTCTCACCTACTACCCAATAGTAATGTCACTTCTTATGGTTCAATAAATAATGCTCATCTCAATAACAATGTCCTCTCTAATAACAATATCAACCTTTCTTCTAACACTAGATTATTTGCTAATAATGATATTAGAAACCTAAGAAGAAACACTGTGATAGTAACAAAAAATTTCATTAAAAAGGATAACCAACTCAAAAAATCTCTCTCTGTTTCAAATAAATTGGGCACTTTCGATGGTGTATTCATCCCAACTTCCTTGAATGTCTTATCAATTTTGATGTTCCTACGTTTTGGTTTCCTATTAGGGCAATTGGGCATTCTTTTATCTCTAGCTACTTTAATCCTATGCTACACAATCAACTTATTAACCACTCTATCCATCTCGGCCATTGCTACAAATGGTACTGTAAGAACTGGCGGTGCTTATTACATGATCTCAAGATCTTTAGGTCCTGAATTCGGTGGATCCATTGGCCTTGTATTTTTCATTGGTCAAGTTCTCAATTCCTCATTAAATGTCGTTGGTTTGGTTGAACCTTTATTGATCAATTTTGGTTCTTCAAATGGAACGCTCTTAAGAATATTTCCCGATTCTTCTTACTGGACCTTTTTTTATTCTACTACAATTTTGTTTCTATGCACTTGTATCAGTGCTGTTGGCTCTTCCTTGGTCAGTGCGGCTGGTTCTTTATTCTTTCTTTTATTAATGTGTGCCAATATCTCGATTCCCTTATCCACTCTTTTTGTAAAACCCTTTCAAATCCCTGATTTAAATTCCTTCTATTCTGGTCCATCTTGGGAAACCTTTTCAAATAATTTATTTCCAAACTTCACTCGAGGTGCCGCTGGCTCTCAATTGCCCGGCAAGGAAACTTTCAATGACTTATTTGGTATTTTTTTTCCTGCAACTGCTGGTATTCTAGCAGGCGCTGCAATGTCTGGCTCTTTAAGAAAACCTTCAAAATCAATTCCAAAAGGAACTCTCTGGGGTTTGCTACTCACTTTTCTTTGCTATTCTCTAGTAATAATGGCTTTAGGCATCTCAGTACCAAGAGACTTGCTATATAAAGATGTCCAGATTATCCAGACAATTAATATCTCTGGAATCATCATAATCTTAGGCGAACTATCCACCTCTTTATTCTCCGTCATTTGTGGTGTGGTAGGCGCTTCATATTTATTCGAAGCTATAGCTAATGACGAAATTATCCCTGGTCTTCAAAATTTTAGAACAAATAAAGATGGCTCTTCCTCAAAATACTCCATTTTTTTATCCTGGTTTTTATGCCAACTTTTTCTCCTATCTGATGTCAATCAAATTGCTACTTTCATCACAATGGCCTTTTTGATGACTTTTATCGTAACAAATTTTGCTTGCTTTTTATTAAAATTATCTTCAGCTCCCAATTTTAGACCAAGTTTTAAATATTTCAGTGCCCTAACTGCTTTAATCGGCTCAATTGCCGGAATAATTGCAATGTTTATAGTAGATGGTATCTCTGCTACAATGGTCATCGTTTTCTTGGTTATTCTATTTGTATTGATTCATTATACTTGCCCTCCCAAGTCATGGGGAGATGTATCTCAATCACTAATCTATCATCAAGTTCGAAAATACTTGCTAAGATTAAGACAGGACAAT